GGTATTCCATAGTAGAATTATCATATAAGAAATATTTAAAAAAAAACAATAGCAAAGCTCAAAAAAAAATTAAGTAAATAAAGTGAGCGCAAACTTCCACGTCAAGTTAAAACTTAAGTAATATTTTATTTTTTGTCACAGATTTGGCTCCGGCTAACTATCTTATCAGGATAATATAATTATTTGGATATAGTAACAATGTTTATTAAAGGCTTTAAAAGGTATACGTTTTGTAGATAAATAATTACCTAATTAATCACTACATATAAACTGTAATAATGTGAACTGAAGATACAACATAATTTTTTTTAATTAATGCTGGACGCAATTACTTTTAAAGTAAACAAAAAATGTGTGTAGTTTAACAATGTGAAGGCTCGAAGTTGACTTCTCAAACTCTAAGCATTACACTTAATTGTTTAATTAATATCTAAATTAATGAGTTTCTTTACCTATAAACCGAATACAAGCTGTGATGAGCCGCCGACCATCATCATCACCGTCGTGTGAAGTCTAACAAACCCTTGTAAAATCGCGTCGGCGTTATTTGCACATGTTATGATTTAAGTTTTTTGCATTAAAACACATAACCCATGAACCCTGGCAGCACTGCACGGCTTTGACTGTTGCTGCCGTCAGTGCGTGTGTGTGGAGTGTGTGCAGGTGTGCTGGCCACTTCAGGACACATGTCGGGACGTGGGAACTGCGCTACAAATGCGTTTCGATGCCGCGCGACATTCTGAAGTGGCTGCTGATATATGGTGATGCGGTGGTTTTTGTTCACTTGTCGCTTCAGGGTACATTCATTTGTGGTGCCGTGTAGGTTTAATTCAAATTCTTAAAATAGAACCAGATCATCAGAGTATACCCCATCTAAACTATTTTATTATCAATAATCTATTTTTAACATTTAAAACATGAACCAAATCTGCCCATGAAATTACCTATTTACAGTCTATTTGTCCATCCAAAGGTTGCCTGTAAGATATTGCTTTTTAGCAATAAGGCCGCCATTTGTACATGGTCAATGATTTTTTTTATATTTGAAATATCATTGTACATGTTCATTAACTTTGAATACTATTGTATGTATAATATCCTGAATTGGTGTACAATAAAGATTATTCTAGGTATTCTATTCTATTCTACTCTAAAATGACAAATTTAATAATGTTTATGCTACATTGAGGTGTAATATAATAGAGAAGACACGAGAGCTATCCTGGTCATTAAAATAGCGTGCGTAAAGCGTGTACCTGCAGAGAAGCACTCACACCAGGCCGACACAATAACACATTAGACTAGGTGCCTATATGTAACGATAGAATTGAAACATCAAACAAAAATAGTGAATCCAACGTCTCGCATGATGTGTTACACAAATAAACGGTCCAGATGTAGTTCGTAATAGCGGAGAGCGGTGGCGGCTAATAGCTCCGTAATGAACATTGATTGATTATCGAGTGATACGCAGCGCTCGGCGGAGCACCCGCGGCCGGCGGCGGCGCCCGACCGGCGCCCGCAGCTCTCAAGTGCTTCTAAAACGAGCATCGCACGTTGGCCTAGGTCGGACATACAGACGCACATCCCGATGCGATCCAAACGAGATACAATCCAGATATGATTGGAGATATAAATATCTGTTAAGATAATGCGTCTTTATCGGACTTAACACAGTAAGACAATTCAAAACACTTTGAAGAGAAGATCGTCCTGTCAATTTTTTTTATCTTAGATTTTATACTTTTTTATCCTCCTACTGGTGAGCGACTTCAGGCTTCGGTTGCTGCAGTCTCAGTCCAGTTCGCAGATCGTTAGATCCATTGTCCTGTATGTTTTCCTTATCTTAATTAACTTTTTTTATTTGTTCCACCTCTGAAATACAGGTATTATATGTCCAAGGAGAATTGTCGTCAGGCAGGTTGGCCGGTCATGAAATACCAGCCGAAAACCTTTGTAGACGGTCAAGAAAAAAGGCGATGATCATGATTAAGATACCTATACTTTTTATAAGCTTTTCTAATTCTTCTTTATCTGAAACCTAGTTTGTATAACGCCAAATTCAAGCTCAACGCAGACCTCCAACTGTAAAAAATAATAATAATATTTAAAAAAAAATAGAAAAGGACGTCCAGCTATTCAAGTTATGCGTTCGCTAATGAACAGAATTTTAGTTTTAGTTGGGTATAATATACATTAAAAACAATTATAAATATACGTTAGCTACAAAAGTACCTACTTTGTTATAAATAGTTTAATTGTATCAATTGCTCCAGATGGTCAACACGCTCCTTGCTCCTTACCGAAAATGTAACTTTTAACCTAATTCAAAAAAGGAGACGTTTTAATTGTTATTTATGGTTTCATTTTACATATCAGTCATGCAAATGATAAACAGTATTGGGTTTTAGTCCTTGACCCTTTGTAGAGTAACTAAAATATCATGACAAATTTTAAATGAATAACATAACTCCTTATCGGGTGATGGCAATTAAACTATGATTTATGGTATTTGCCACAGATAATATACATACTCTATACGTCTTTTAAATTTATCACGTTTTGGATCCCGGCTTCATTATAAACCAACGTTGCTTAGTACTTTTTCTATTTCACTGAAAACATTATGTAAAGACGCTGTTACATTAAGAATATAAAAATAAATGCATTACAAAATAAAAATGTGAAAGTTTTAAGTATTAAGACAATTGCTAACATTAGAATAATAAAAGTAAAAGTAACGCGCTTAACAGCGGACAGCGTTTAATTTTATTAAAGAGCTTTATGCCTGCAGTTTCGCTCACGTAACATTTTTAATATTACTTAAGGATTTAAATTTAAAAAAACTATTTAATATGGTCTGTTACAATCGTATTGTCATACGCAGTTATTTAAAAATGATCTAATATCACTCTGTCCCCACTTTTGTGGTTAATAAAGTTGATCAGTTCTATATTTAGGCGTATCGTTACTGCGTATTTGTTAATCTACATAATACCAATCCAGCGGTTCGGTGGCGACCACAACGAAAGCACCGCCGGCCTTAGGTACCTACACAATCTGGTGGCGTGATAGAGATATATTTACAGAACATAACGATGATGTGACATGATGCGCACTTGTGGTCCGACAATGATTCATATGTATCAGAACAAATGACCTTATCCTCTGATTATATAGAATGTTTCTTTCTATAAATCTACCAAATGCGCCTTACCTACTGATGGCAGGGGCATTCACATCTTTCAGCGAATATTTTAGTCGTTATCAGGGAATAACGTCAATCATTCAAAGGAACAACCACAAAAGCATAATGTAGTCTCCTTTTTTGGGCAAAAAAATGTACCTCAGTTGTAACTATCCTCTAGGAGTTGCTAGGAGTTATTGGAACGAAGTTCCTTATCGCGCGTTGTGAGAGGGGGCTAGACGGAAAAAAATCTCACGAAAAGTTGTAACGACACTTTTTATGTCAGTCATTCAGCGCCATCTATCGAATAGATAGGAAATCATTACTTTTAATCTCAGTATTTATTTTGAATTGTCACTTGTCAGTCATTCAGCGCCATCTATCGAATAGATAGGAAATCATTTCTCAAGGAGATTTTACCAATGTATAAATTGTTTTAATTAGAAACGAACTGAAAAATATGTAGGTAATAGCCGCTTTCATAGATGGCGTTGTAATTAAAATCGTGTCGAATAAGTTTTACTCGATCGTCACAACTTCGTTCCTATAGGGTGTCAAACGACACCACACGGCTTTTTTTTTAATTTCGTATAGTTCTATTATAGGAATAGGAAACCGTGGGGAAAGTCTGAACCATGAAGGGCAATACTTACCAATATGCGTGTCTCAAGTTTCAAACGCCTCGTGCCGCTCTTAACTTTGCCAAGGGTAGACTGGGTTTTCCCTGGGTTAACTAGTTAGTTTTTTGACATCGCCTTTTTAAGATTTAAAGATATATTTGGAAAAGATGCCTACGAAAGCTGAGAACAAGAGTTATGAAAAAAAACAGTAAATTGCCACAAGCTGTTTTCTTATCATCGCAGTAGGTACCTATACCAAATTGTATTAATTGATTCGGTTCAATTACGACGTCGAGTTCGCTCATCATAACGACATACCTATAACAAACCAATTCGACGTGTTCTTGACCCGGGCCTTCACGGCCATCCACCAGCAGGCTGTACCGAGAGGCCACCCGCCTATCCCGGTCTGGTCTCGCCGCCCTATCCGGCCCACTAAACCTGTAAGTAATATAAATTCAACGAATAATTTTTCAGACTCGTCCATAAATCGACAAGAATATAGCGCGAGCGTCCGACCGCTAATGTAACGCGTAAATCAGCCACGATCCGACAAAATTCATACCAACTCTCCTTTAAAATATATACCTTAAAACAAGGAGATAAGGTAGAATGTAGTTATCTCGTGCGGAATACAATTAGTTTAGCGAGGAACATACGTTCAAGGGCAATGGCTCTAGCGGGGAGTGCTCGGACCTATGACGGGCATCCCCGGGTGATATTGAGTGGATAATTTAAATTACAAGCTAATGAGTACAGAACGTAGATAAGGTTGTCTTGATATTATTATTCTGATGTTCTACATGAGGCTATTCGCCATATACACCATCGCGCTGCGAATGTATTTCTAGTTAACAGGTATGCAAGTATCGGTAGATAGGTGTAAAAGTTTTTTAATTGTCAGTGGAAGCAGCATGTATCCTCCACTACAGTTTGACCTATATTTATGATTTTCTCAGTTTTACTTAATTATTATGTTGAAGTGACGACCACTGTACCAACACTTTACTGAACATCAGATAATAGTGACCAAACAGTTCAGTAACTTATCTCCTCTGTTTGTTTGTCCACCAATTTTCTAGTGAAACATCATGAACTTTGATATAGACGCATTGCGATGTTAAATCACTAGCATAGCTATAGTGGCACCTTCAACACATGTAACACTGTAGCGGGTTGAACGTGCAAAGGGAATGTCACGGAGTGATTTACGCGGTCCGCCGCCAGGTGGCGACACCGCGTACCTCACGACACCGTCGCGACATTCCAGCGAGCGCGGCGTGGGTGCGCAACGATCTGTTTCCGAGGGAGAAGCGCTGCAGCTGAGAATGTTGTTTAGTGCTTACAACATACTTAAAGTTCGTAAATAACTTGTAAACTATGTTTACGGTATAAATAGGCGAGCTGCACAAGTGCTCTTAATACCTTACTATCTTTATGAAGAGTATAAAATACAGCTATTAATATTAATATACTTTTACATTATTTTGCTTTCATTTTAAAATAGATATTCCCTGCAGCTTTACCTGCCTTTATGATCGCTAAGTGTCGTTTCGTGATGTTACACAACATAGTCATTCCTCAAGAATTACTTTAATGAATAGAAAAATAATCATTGGACTCTAACTCGCAGTTCACAATTTAATTGATAAACGAACTTTTCGACTTCATTACATTGGTAGATTAGGCCTTTTACGCATTTAAGGAGTGACCATAAATGTAGCATTTATGGTCACTCCTAAAGGTTATAGGTTGATACCAAAAAGCCAAATGACAAACTATCCGGCTGACAGTTCGAGAGGTATCTAAACGTATAATAAAAAAAAACTCAAACTGTTTAGGTAATATAATAAATAACATCTGTCACTTATAATTATTATTAATAACTGTCTAGCTTTAGGCTCGATAAAAGCCTTTAAATAAAAGCTGAAGTCACTTCATACGTTGATAAAGAGTGCCTTTCGATCCCAAGATATGTGAGGAATCCCCCAAATACACACATCACAAGCCATATCTATAATAAATACCTATTATATAGCTTTTATTCTATTATTAATATAAAGCTCGTAAAGTCGCAAGGTCATCGCAACGTGTGGAAGGAGGTGTAATTGTCGAGAACCGTCATAAATTTGGTCGGCCGTCGATACGGGCTCCGAGCGCAACGTACCTACACATAAATCTACCGCATTCACTAATGGCAACAAATTTACGAAACCCGAGTAACACATGCGCCGACTGCTTCTAAAATATAACTCACCTTAATTACACTCAATTCATCATAAAGACACGACGGTGTGAAATAACAGACAGTATTACATAAAATGTTTAGAGAAATACCGAAGTTCAGATATCTAACAGACGTCGGACACTCAGCACTTTATTATAACTAAAGAAGTCTAGTGTGAGCATGTTGGTTATTCCTGTACTCTTAAATGATTTAATATTTTTTTTATTCATTTACTTTTGAAGTCACCTGGAAAGTTCTTAGCTTTGCTTGAAACCAATAGATGATTTTAGGTCAGCAACGAGTTACAATATCAAATACAAAGCATGTTAAATATTTATAGGTGTTCACAGCTTACCATAGATATACTCATGGCTATCATGAGATTTTAGAATTTTAGATACTTTGCAGGATGTTAAACGACAGAGCGGCTTCCACTTATAAAATGCAATAAACAAATTGAATTTCTCCTTTCTAGACCTTTCAATAACACACAACAATTTTTAGTCTCCTCTCCACGAATACTGAGGCCTTGTTTCATATATTTTACTACCAGATGAAAAGTACAACACATAAAGCGCTAAGTTATAACATGAAGCGCGCGACGACACACAGCTCTGAGCCCGCGCACTCACCATTAATTGTAATAAACATGCTGACACAGCCAACAAGTTGTGTATTACATGCAAAACGCATCCGAACACAGCCACGTGATTTTTCAACTACCTATAACACCGAAATGGAGCCGTAGGTATGATACTTTATGAGACAAGAGTTACAGAAACAGAGCTTATTTTATGGACAGTACTCGTTACTGGAAGACCTTATCTAAAGCTTGCAATATCGAAAATACCTGTGACAATATTGGCGAACGTGTAAAATTGGGACCCTAAGAACAGCTTAGAGGACCTTGATTTACTAGTCTGGCCATTAAGGGCATCTTTGAATGCAGTCTCTGCGGTTAAATAGAACCTAATGATCCTGATGATTTTTTAATAAAAATATTCAACATTTTCAGAGTTTTAAAAGGTTTCCTATTTTGGTACCTAACCAAGAAAATGGATTATTTGAAGGAAACGTATTTAAGATGTTGTAAAAACAGCCTGTGAAATCAAAACTATGTTTTAAGTTTAAACTAGACTTGTATAAAGCCTATGCGATAGAAAGCAAGCTGCAAAATGTAGCATCATATAATGTAGCTACCAATTTCCAACTTCCATGTAGTAATCACGACAGAAAGCTTCGGTCCTCCAATAACCTTCTTCTTCGTTGTCCGTCCCACACGTCTGAGTTTGTTGGCTCTTAATTTTTCCTTCAGTCCGTTCTTCTTTGGAATGCGTTTCCACTCGAAATCAGGATGGCTTCCAATACTTTTTCCTTTAAAGTAAAAGTAAAGCAGTATCTGGTCAAACAACTGGCAGAATCAACTTGCTCACGATTTCTTTTTATTTTAATACAAAATTGTTATCAGTATCTACTTGCGTGTGTATGTATGTATTTATATACTTTTATATAGTATTTATGTATTATAAGGTATATACTTAAATGTAATGTTAATATGTATAGGTGCAGTATATGACAGATTTGTATATGTGTATGTATTATATGATTTTGTACAAAGTATATTTACAATATTAAATGTCTAAATTAACTGTAACTAAAATGCACCTACTCTCTCTGCCATGCTCTCTAATGCCATGAGGCATTCTCTCCCAGTCAACCTCCAGGTGATGTAGAAATATGATGCGGTGGGTGCAAAACAAAATAAAAATTTAACATAATTGAAGTCCAAAGACATACACAATATACACACACACACATACATACATAAACCTTCATAAATTTAATAAAATATAATTGAAGTGGACGAAAAATTAAAATCCACATTTGCTTAAAAAGATCCCTCGGGCTTCGGGCATTCCATGCTCTTGTTTTGCGTTAAGTAAATAACCAATGTTTATATTTCACTGTTTTCTCATTAACGTGATGTGAAACTGTTAATAAAGGCAATTGTCACGAGTGACACAGTTTCTTGTCGCAATGACAGGGTTTCAATAACACAGTATTAGGTAACTCAGTCACTGTGGCAAGCGCATCTAACAAACTGACGTACTGCTTGCGTACGAATTACTTCACGACCCTTATGCTGTTGCAATAGAAGTCACATTTGATTGATGAGGATGCTAACAACATACTGTGATAGTAGCTTATAATTACGTGTCTTATCTCGAGGTGCAGGGGCGGTAACGCGTCGATAAGGCCGCGCTGCAATCGCAGTGTGCTAATCACAGGTACAATATGTACACATACCTACACCTATTATGTTTTCATATCTATCTGTTTCCAGTTTGATTGACATAAAATTAATATTTTGCTACCTGCCCTTTTTCAAATATTATTCTAAATAATAAGTATTGCAAATGTTGCTTCTTTAAAGCTAAAATTAGCCGGCTGCCGGGGCAAGGAAAACTGATAGTGTGAGGGAGCGAGGTTAGGAGAACACGGGACTGAAACTGATGTAGATCGAAGAGTGATAGGGTAACTAAGACAAGGGTATCGCCTGGCTTATAATTGCAAGAATACGCATCTAATAATTTCGTTTCACGGTAGGTGTCAGTATAAAAAAAAAGCCTTTCCCGAAGTAAGAAAAAAGTGCTTCTACGAGAGCGAAGTCGCTGGCAAAAGCTCATCTAATACATAAATAAGACTTACTCAATTACAACAGTATATTTTAACCTCAAATAAAATTCGAGTTTTGATCTTTGATCGCGATCCTGGCAGTTTAAGGTACAGTTAATGATTAAACCATAAAATTAAATTGTGGTAGGCTCGGTAGGTATCTATCAAACGAGGAACTGGTACATAACCCACAGGCTAGTCGCACAGTTAAGCTGGTACTTAGTTAGTTAATACAAACCACACGTTATCTGTTTACCTCCAGCTATTGTCACAACAAGTACAACAAATGCGTCAACAAGTGCCTTTGGACGTCGAAGACGTCATCTTCCTCCTTAATTAAGTGCAATTTACGATTTGTTTCGTGGTCACAAGATATTATTTTGTTATGAGTTTATATCAAAGTTATTGTTATTGGATTTACCTTATAACAATATTGTTAGTAAATAAGAACAGGATAACTTGTCCTATCGCACTATTTCCATTCGCCTCAACACAAAGTACCCGCAGGATTTAGAACTTATGTTTAAGAGTTCTCTGGACATTTGCCGACAGTAATCCTTGTTAACTTATGATCAATTAAAATAATTTTATCAGAAATTACACAACATAGCATAACATATGCTATGATCATATATGATCTACAGTTCTAAGATAATTATTGACATTAATTAAGGGTTTTGAGATCCTGATAAAAATTCTGATATCTAGCTTTATATCAACTTTTTATCATGTATAATAATTATATTTATAGAAGTATATTTCCACAAAACGGCACGGAAAAGGACCACATAGAAAACCGAGGCCGGTTACTCATCTTGAAGCACCTGAAATTCGGCTTGCCAGTCGAGCCCGCCGGCCAGAGCAATTTCTGATATTAGCAGATCTTGGTGCAACAGGTGTAGATGGTTATACAGGGGCAACAGCAGCCACCACAGCAACCTCCACAGCATCCACCGCAGCACATTTTTAATAGGGTCTAGAGTACTTAAAGTCAAAAATAAAGCTAGAAGAAAGTTGTGGAAAAATAGACTGATTAACTGTTTTCACTTTTTATACAAGTTTTTTTGAGCTTTTTACAATTGGTGTCTTTTACTCCGGCAATTTGTGTGTACTTTGTACTATTTGTACTTATATTATATACATATTATTTTATACATAATAATTTATTATTTATTATTGTATTATTATATTATTTTATATAATAATTTATTTATATTTATTTATTTCTTTTAATAATTTATTATAATAAAAATAAAAAATAAAATTGCCTCAAAAAACGTAATATATTTTCAACTACCGATATTTATACCGATGCCAATGTCCACTCGATGGCATCTCAATAGCGTGTCAGTGGTATGACAGTGGCTTGACGTGTACATAAAATAGCAGAATTGAGGCCCAGGTCAAGTGATTCTTCCTGGTGACTTGCCGCCCTACGGTTTCATGGCAAATTGTATTACTAATCAGCGCATGAACTTACATTGCACAACACAATATTAGTGGTTCCTACATATTTCAGCTACTCTTCATCAGAAAGCGATGTGAATGACGCCATAAGCCTTTACTGAAAGACCTGGATATCTTTAGCTAAAATATATCTTATCTTCAACAGGTAGTGCATGTGATGCGAGCTCGCTGACTGAACCTCTGAGATCGACAATGTTCGGTAGCGCCGGCGGTGTGGGTGGCGTGAGCGGCGGTGGGGGCGCGTACGCAGGCGGTGGCGGAGACTGCGCTGATGGCTACGGACTCGGCTACGTCGCTGGCGGACCGCGCCTGCAGCAATACGCTGCGCACTTCGCCCCTCACCAGAACGTCTGGCATCATCATCATCCTACGCACCACGATTCTTACAGTAAGTACATTCATATTCTTTAAAGACCACAAAACTTAACTAGAACTATTTTGTTGCTTAGAGTCTTGCTTGATCATCAGATTAAGTCCAAGATGTCTAATTATTCTATTAACATCGAAATTGCACAAACAGTAGGTACCCTAACATTTACTGTCAATATTTGCCTGCTTATTTATGTAATCACAAGTGAAACTAATAAATAAATAGAAAGAAAATAGAAGCAGTAACAAAACAGCCGTCTGGCAAGTACCTAAGTAGGAATTTGAAACAACTCGCGTTTGCACTTTTGTCGATTGTCACTTTTCCTGTACCAACTTCATGCTAAGATTTATTAGAATCAAAGTTCTGTTAGGTAAGTACTTGTACGAGTAATAAACAATACATTGATTGGTCTGGAAATATTAATATAGCAGTGCGGTTAGATTAGATCCAACGCGAGTCACGGGGAATTAGACGCGCAGGATTACTGGGAACTGATAACGGCAAGCAGGAAAACAATTAGAGCGACCATAGGACCGTGTGTGCGTGGTCATCCAGGACCGGTGGAACACAACAATAATTCCATAATAGATCTGTGGCAACTCCCACACCACGGAGTAACTCCTGAACGACAACTGCTAATTGTGTATCGCGATATGAAGAATTCTCTTACTGATGAGCATAAATACAACTTCCCAACATCAACCGTTGGGCTGCGGTCCGCCAGGCATGATCAGCTCGCCTAGCCAGAGGATCCTCCCTTTTTGTTGGAGGGACACGACATCCGTTTCCCCACAGATCGATAGGAAAAAACTATGCGTCTTGTTATTCCGTAATTAGCATGACGTGTCCATTAGGTAATTAGCCTATCTCGTAATTAGTCAATAGTTTATCTTCATCAATATCATCATCAAAATCATCCCTCTTTGGAAACGTAATCATTTTCAATAGCATGAAGGAAGAAGGTTTATTGGGGAAAGGAATACGAATGAGCCGATAGAGCTAGGGTACGGAATGTCGCAAGCTTCGGATGGGTACACGGGAGACCACAGAAGAGTCGCTTACACGAAAAACACTAATCTTCTGCTGCATTATCAATGGTTATTGTCCAAGAGTTTCGTTGGCACACTGTATAAGGGAATGCCGTACCGTTGAAGCGTTTAAACGCTGCCAATACCAGTGAAGTCGATTGTGGGTGAAAAATTATACCCCAGCTTCTCCCATCAGAGCTCTGGTGCCTCAATGTGAAGCGAAAGAATAACAGGAGCATTCTAATAGTTATTGTATTTAACCACGTTGTTCTACTTGTGCGGAGATTAGGTACTTCCCAGATGCAAATATAAGTTTGTTGGATAGCTAAACTTTTAAGCTTTAGCTGTTAAATTTAAACCATTTAATATGAAAGTTTGCACACGTATTGTCAGTGTTACATAAATGAATATAGCGTAACCATAAACAGTACTATTTCGAGGGAGAACATTTACGTTTGACGTGAAAAGGTTTGACACGAGCGGAACCACGAGCAAAAGTTAGTTTGTGCGTAAATCTGCTTCGCCTTACTTCTTAATTGCGCTAATTTATAGTTGGTTCTACTGTATTTTCGTTCAGTTTTATTAACCTATAAAATAAATTAAAAACCGCGGCTGTACTAATCGCAATGTTTGCTATAACAAAAGAAAACACTTAAGAAGTATTTTGTTAATACTCATAAAGTTGAATGTATTTTTTTATAGTTTTCTGCTTTGCTACCTTTATATTTCTGTTATTAATTGACTTACAGATAAAACGTAAATAGAAAATAGAGTATGTAAAATATTTCAATCATCCAAATCATAGTGATTAATTCTATGACGTACTCGTAGTGACACATGGATGACTCACGGTGGGTATAAGTGAGGCATTCGACCCAATCAAAGCATTTGTAGGCACTGATAGTCCTCGATATAACACAAAAATACATATAATATATTCACATGATGTAGGTATAATTTATAAATATGTCTGAGTATCTTTATAGTGAGACAAGTACACTACCATTTTATAACAAAATAATTCGTTTTTCCAAATTTTTTCTATGACGTTCGCAACCTGTATCCGAATAAAATAGTTTTTTTTTTTTATTATTATAATCACATAAAAAATACACAATATATGTGAAGTCCCTGACTGCTGAGCTAGGCTCTTGGCCTGTGTTACAGAAGTCAGTGTCTTCTCTCATTATGAGGAACACAGAAATCTTATGCAAAAATAAGTGCAGTGAGATGAGTAAATGTGATGAAAGTGCGTAGTGTGGAGTGTGCCGTGCGTTTGTGGTGTGTATGGTATTTAAGTGTATGGATGTATATGTAAGTATGTATATGGAGTGATATGAGAGGTGTATATGGTCAGTTTTTAGTCTTTATGATAATAATTTTTCAGTTTGGTCATAGTCTATACCAAGCAACCAATTCTTTAATTTAATTTTAGCTTCGCGATTAGATAAGGGATGAATGTTTGTTAATTGATTTATTCTATTATATAAGAAGATAGACATGTAGGCATGTTGCCGTCTGGCAGAGGCTGTACGACAGGAGACGGATAAGCAAACATTTGTCATTGTACGCTTTCTATTATACTCCTTAGTATGGTAAGGAGTTTTCTTGTGTTGCTTTGAAAGTAATTGCAGTATACACAGTTGTCTTACTGTTAGTACTTCACAAGTTGTAAACAGAGATTTTGTTGGAAATCTGAACGGACTGAAAGTCATGACTTTCAATATTGATGTTTGTGCTATTTCCAACCGCATCATAAATGTCTTACAAGCGCCACCCCAGACCACAATACAGTAAGAAAGAACTGACTGAACCAGAGCGTAGTAGACAGTGCGTAATAATAAAAATTCACATGCACGCCTCAATTGCTTGAATATCCATATAAGCTTTCTGGTACGAGCTGTTAACAGGTCTATATGGGGACGCCAACTTAATCTTTCATCCACCAAAACACCAAGATATTTCACATCCGTAGATTTAGCTATGGACGGACATGAGCAGCCTATATTCAATGTATTGTAACATATATGCGCCCTTATATCAACGTTCACAGGTTTAGTTTTAGAAATGGAAAATGGTAGGTATTTGGTTTTTGAAAGATTTAGAGTAAGTTTGTGGCAAGCCATCTCTTGATTCTGTGGAGACCCATTTCGGCGACACGCCCAACCTCATCCCAGGAGTCTCCATGGAAGACTAGGGCCGTGTCGTCAGCATAAGTAAAAATTTGACCTTTGTAAAGAGTTTGTTGATATAAGTCATTTACATATATCAAAAAAAGACTTGGTCCAAGTATTCTGCCCTTCAAAGACATTCAAAAATATTAGTAAACCTATTGGCGTTGGGTGTTGTCCCGTACAATAAAAAGGTCATCATCTCCTTACTGCTCTTAACCTAATTTTAGGCACAATTTACAAAGGGTTTTTGTTCTTAAATATGCGTAATTTATCGATGACCTGACGCCATCCCTCCTTGGTAATGTAAGCGTTTTCAGACGTGACTAAGGAAAAAGGTCAATTGTGATGGGACTAACAGATACTAACTAACTAGGCCAAGTCTCAGATGGGAGATAGGACTGAGACTACAGTAAGGACAACTTATTACTTAACAGTCGCCCCGTTGGTCATGAGGAATTCTTAAACAAACACAAAGTTCTTAAACAAAAACAAAATTTTAATACTTAGAAAATGCGGTTCTTGAAAACTTAGTTGGTAATTTGGATATCTTTATTAGCTATTGAAACGTCAAACATTGATAAAATGAGACTGGTTACTGACAACGCTTAATTAATGATAGAGAAGTAAGAATTGGACGTAAGCAAAAATAATTGAAAATGGAAATAATTGAGTCAATTCTTTTAGTACTAGCCAGCAAAAGAAAAGTTTTTTAAAGGAACGGCAAAAAAAACGTCAGGATGGTCCAAATGGAACTTCTGGTGACGGGCCTGTTGGTCTAGTGGTTAGTGACACTGACTGCTAAGGCGGAGGTCGTGGGTTCGATCGAGTGGGACTCAGGATAAATAATTGTGCATGAGCACGATGATTTATTCTGTGTCTGGTTGTAATTTATCTATGATATGTATGTATTTAGAAATATATAAGTATGTTTATCAGCAGTCTGGTTACCATAGTACAGGCTCTGCCAAGTTTAGGATCAGACGGCCGTGTGTGTGATGTGTAAAGGTATTATATTATTACTTCTCAACGTCACCCGTTGTGCTAATTTTAAGATTAATAAAACATTGATGTCGGTCTAGCGGTTTTAGAGTCCCGATTAAAATTTCAAGACTTCTTTTCAATTTTCCATTTTATTAAAAACTTTTTCCTCCCCTGCATACACAGTAAGTGAAGGCTCGCCTTATAACATCACTTATTCTGTCATTAGATCTAAACGATAATGTCAACTGATTGCGTATCTTACACGACAAACTAACAAATATGTTTACGTACTAAACATATATTATTTACCTACTAGTTCAACAATTAATTATAATGATTAGTTTGGTAATGATATTTATCAAAGATATGGCTGATTAGTTGCTATTATCGTTGGGTGAACCGACCCACCCGGCCGCGTTGGCATCTAATAGGGAATATGCACGTGACACCAAAATGGACAAAATATTTTTATTTGTAATGTTTATTGCTAAAAAAAGATACCCATACAATTATTTTTGAAATTTATTATGATTTAGTAGTGAAATTTAATCATCAAAAATTGGCTTTTTTAAGATTCCCTCGCAAATTTCTAAAACGCAACGCTATTGGTTGAATAAAACGTGACGTCAACCTACACTGTCAAGAGTGTCAACAAGTTGTGTGTATTTGTAATATTTGGTTTCTGGTGATTATTTGTTTCATTTTAAGTGAATAACTAATACGTTTTCATGTTAAATTATTAAATTCCCGTGTAGAAAGACTCAACACAATGACTGAATATACTTTGTCAGGTGCAGTTTTGATATTATTTGGGCACAAAGGAACGGCACAATATTTATAATAAGTTTTTATTGGCTTTCCATGGTAATAAGTTAATTTTTATCACTCACTTTTTGAACTTTGTGAACTTCACTCCGTTGTTGACATCGAATTCGCCTGAAAGTGTAATCTGACGTCACAAAAAAAGCGCGCTAAAATGGACGTGTTCAAATTGCCCCAAAATGATAGTGATTTCAATAAATTTTTTTTTGCTTAACGGTTTATATTTCGGATGTGTTATATTTATTTTTGGTAATGTAATAACTAGTAGAATCGTTAAAAAAAATAAAAAAAATACATGCATATTCCCTATTATAATACCTATAATGAATTATGCTGGTATAGTACAGATACTCCTTTTTTTAAATTTTTTTTTGAAGGTGTGGATAATCCCTTCGGATCTCCTGCTCCTCGGGGACTCAAGAGCCAGGAGTATGTAGTGATTCCACAAAAAAACACCCCGATGGCCGGCCTCAGGTGTCCTACTCTGGGAGGACCCGGACCATGTTATTTCAGGTCCTCCCCGATTTGGCACCATGCCTAATCAGGCCCTATTCCAGGGGAAAACCCTTCCCCCTTCAATCACGGCGTGGCGGCCCGATTGCGTCTTAATGCAATTAGGTTGCCATTCTATCCCGTACCGCAGTAATTAATCTGTCACCAGAGGTCCCCACTCTCTGGCGGTCCTCGGAGTACAGATACTCCGAATATAGTATTCTATATATGCAGCCATTAATATAATTACGCAGGCGGGTAAATCCCAAAGTTTTCCCTATATCCCACTGTTTGGTTTTCCTTATTAAAATATTTCAAATTTCATGTTATTATTAGGCACTATGTTTTCACCTACGAATGTTCAATACTTGAAATATTCATCCGTGTAACAGGTAATAATTAAATAAAATTATACTCGTACACAACCGCCTTCGACCTAAATTGATGAGCTCTGCACTTCAGACTGCAAGGATGGCGTAGTGGTTTAAGCGGTCGCCACGCCGCTTCCTACTACACCGAGTGTTGTGGGTTCAAACCCCCACATGGGACGACTCTTTGTGTGATCCACAATTTGTTGTTCTGAGTCTGGGTGTTCTTTGTGTCCGTTTCATGTATGTTTGTAAAGTCCCCCGCGACACAGGATATATTAATAATGCGGGAGTTATCTTTATATAACATTACAAAAAAATTACTTGACCTAAAACATTATTTGGCTAGTTTGGCACTTCAACGCACCATCTATTTAATATTACTTTACTTTTGTGCTATTACTTTACTTTATCAATTACTTTTAGGTAATCCTTTCTATCGAAGAGTTGTATTACAATAACGTTGTATTTTTAAGTTTGAGACGTCAAAACACCGTAATTTTTTTTATTTATTTTTTTCTCATCTCACACACAGCAGTCTGATCCCAAATTAGGCAGAGCCTGTACTATGGTAACCAGACTGCTGATAAACATACTTATATATTTCTAAATACATACATAATATAGATAAATTACACGCAGACACAGAACAAATGATCGTGCTCATCACACAATTATTTGTCCTGGGTGGGAATCGAACCCACGACCTCCGGCTTAGCAGTCAGGGTCACTAACCACTAGACCAACAGGCCCGTTTATAAATTGATTTTTATTTTATTTAGGAGGTATGGTCTTTTCGTTATTCCACTCTTCTTCGTCAAATTTCCATTCAAATTTAAAGAAAAATACAACCCCTAGGGGTGTGAATGAGGGAATCCATACGTATCGTATCGTATCCATAGTAAACGTCTCCATCCATAATATTATGAAGAGGTAAAGTTTTTAAGTTTGTATGTTCGGGGTAATCTCCGGTACAACTGATCCGATTTTGAAAATTCTTGAACTGTTTATAAGGTAGGTATATTACGCCTGAGTGCTATATAATAGATTATTTTTACTGCGATAACCGATATACTCGTGGGCGGAGCCGCGGAAAAAGCTAGTAAAGAATACAGGTCATGATGAAATAAGCGTATTGAAGTAGGTTATAACTACTTTAAAATGTATTATTGTAACAATTATCTGCAGATGATTGTAAGATAGGTATTACAGTCTAATTCAGAAAGAGCCACAGCGTACTGTTTTCGTGAAATATTAAAATGTCCGAGTTGAAAAGGGACTCCCCCTTTTCAGTTACAAACCGATGATATTATTATTAGTAGTGATGTGCCGGATATACGTATCCGTATCCGCGGATATCCAAGGGAGAAGAGAGATCCGTAACCGTATCCGTATCCGTGACTTTTTTGGCGGATCTTTCAATACATATTAAATAGATGAAATTCTATATAGGTGATTTTGTATTCACTGTAAAACTCTTAGGTATGTGTTTGTAACACTATAAACAGCAACTTTTTTTCTGGCCAACGTCAAAATGAAAAAAATTGGTTCTCCATTCAAATAACCAATCAAATGTTGTTAGTTTGTATGGAGAAACAATTTTTTTTCTTTCGTTTTCGGTGTTAGTCCAGAAGAAAAGTTGTTGTTTATAATTTTACTAATATGCACTTCAGAAATTTTCAATAAATTTAAAATAACCCTTAATAATGGTTATTAGGTACCTATGAAAAACTATTGAATTCTGTTCAGATTACTTTTTATTTCTTAAAACAAATATTTGGCACGTTTGTATTGCAATCATTTATCGTACTATACAAAATATAAAGAGCCATCTTTATAATGAGATCAATCAAACATCTTTGTATTAGCTTATTAAAATAATGAAATATTTAAATATCAACGGCAAAGCGTCAAGTGGCGACAACTATCAAGGTCACGGGCTCCGATTGAGTAAGAAATTTAAGATCCGTATCCGTATCCGTATCCGCGGATCTTGACACCAAATATCCGTATTCGGATCCGTATCCGCGGATATACTTTGTTAACGATCCGGCACATCACTAATTATTAGTTTGGGGAGGTCTTTAGTAATTTTTGCCGCATAAATATACACATTACATAGATATTCACATATAGATATATTCTATATGTTAATACATGTGCTATGTAATGTTTAAATACTTGCAAAAGTTATTTAATTCGAAGATATGTATACAGTATGACTGTTTCAACGACTAACTAAAGCAAATAGGAACAGAGATAATACCGTAGTTACAAAATAGGTATATTTGATAACAAACACATTGTCTGATAGTTTTATTATCGCTAATATATATAATATAATTGTAATGCGGCTATCTTATCGCGTTTCGAAGCGAGGTACTCTATATATATATTCGTACTAAATATTTCAATGAAACAATAATAAAATACAAATGATGGCCAACAATTTTATTGTCAATTAAACTTCAGTTTTGTAAAAAGCAACTATCAGTCTTCAGTGTGTAGGCGAATACCAGCAATCAAACCACAGAAGTGAATCATTATCGTTGACTAATTCTCAATACACAGATATCATTACCAACTCAGCAGGATAAATCGTGTTTTGTTTCATTATTTTCTATCTTATTATATTTAAAAATAAGTTAGAAGCGAGCGCGACTGTTACACACAGACCTACTGCCAGCAGGAGAATCTGTGCTCGAATCGATCCCGTTAAAGTATCGACTATAAAACCTTCACAATATAAATGTTTACCTCATCACGTCCGCACACAATTCAATGAAGTAGAATCGGGTGTCAAGTTCTTGAATTATGGCGGCGTGTTGTGAATCAGTGGCGATAACGGCGCGTGCCGCGACCGACCGCGCCGCGCCACCGCGCCTCAGTGCGCGCTCTGACCCCTGACCGCGCCGGTCGTGGTCTGTACACACATACACTACTCTCTGGTGATCAACCACACTTGTCTCTGTCCGATATCCTGCGGCAATGGAAGCGCTACCTTATAATCTCGATCTACCAGCTCACTGGTTGCAAAACATGGCGCTGTTCGCAGGTCCGTCAGTAGATAATACTTATTTTCGAGTATTTTTTTTAGCTTTATATAATATCGGTGTGTAATGTTACTGTGTGTGGTGCAGCTGGCGGTGGCGGTGTGAGCGGCGTGGGTTCCGTGGCCGGCGGATTGTATTCCCAGAACATGGTCATGGGCTCCTGGTGTCCGCCTTACGACGCGCTGCAAAGGCCTACTGCTTACGGTAAGAACTAAGATTAACATTTTATTTAGCTTCTTACGAGAAGTACTTATCTTTGTGTATCCTTTACATGTTCTGTTGTGATGAGTGTGTAACGAATATACATATATCGTGTCCATCGTGTGCTTGTACCGACAATAACACGATAACATTGTTATTTGTCGCGTTGATCTGTTTAATACAATAACAAAATATGTGTGTGCAGCTAATCTCTGTGTTATCTAGCTACTTATGGTGGTCGTCATCTGCTCACTGGCGATACAAGCCATCATATGACATATGTTCGTGCAAACTTTAATAACAACAGTAATCGCATTTTCTAGTTAGTCATCTAACGTTTTAACTACACATATATACCTACCTCGTTTTGCTTTTGTTTTTCGTATATAAGTATATTTAAACACTAATTAATTAAAGGCGTATTTATATACGTCACTATTCAATTGTATATCGGCATGGGAGTCCCCTTGGAGGTATGGCTATAGACACGTGGGCAGATAATATTGTAACCTTTTATTTCTCTCTTGATTTTTTAATGTTTTAACAACGATAACAACACTACTTTAAATACTTTTTAGTACTAAAATAATGAACAGTATAATAATTTATTTTTTCACAAGAATTGTGTAGTCCAAAGAAATCTAGAAATAAGCATAAATTTATTAGGTGTTACTTAGTGTGCAATTCTGCTAACGGTTTATAGAAATTTATGTATATATGCACTTTATATGCTCGAATAATATTCACACTATCATCACACAAAGAAACATTAAAAAATTAATTTAATAATTCGTATCTACACGAAAATTAGCTGCCCACACCTGGAACATAATTGTAAATTTATTTTAATACGTTTAGCACAAAAACTAAACAGCGATTAGAATCTAGACTTAGATAAAAAGATAACATAGTAGGTAATTTAATATCTAAAAATAACTTAACATATCTCACGCACGACAGCCTCAACCGTTATGGTTGAGGCCGTCGATAGCCCAAACATCTCCGAGCGGCGTTACGTAGAGATATGGCTTCACTCTGCATTCTCTATCGCATATATCATGGAGAGTGCTCCGAAGAATTGTTCGGACTAATACCTGCCGCAACTTTCCGCCATCGTTCCATCTTCATCCCCATCACCTGGATAGTTGGCGCTCTACTACTGTGCACTGTTTGAGACACTTTGCCTCGCACAACCAATCTGTGGAAGGGGTTATCGTCTGCGGTATTTCCGGACCAGAGTTGCAGACGGTCATGGGCGACGATGCTCACTTTCCATCAGGTAACCCGTCTGCTCGTCTGCCACCTCTATCATAAAAAAAATACTAGGCGGAACCTTTTTTTTTTTTTTTTTTTTTTTTTTTTCCGTGCGGAAATCCCCTCGGATACCACCTGTCGGTGGCATGTCGGACTCGAACCGACTAAAACCGCACGCCTTCGCCGGGTACTAATAGCCGGGGAACCAGGTATACCCTAGAAAGGAAGGCCCTGGTGCCCCGACATACCTCGGGTCATCTACAGACGAGTAGACGACCCCCGCCCCGTGTGGGAACCCCATGTTCCCTGTGCTCCCTGAAAGCGAGCGCGCTTCGCAACGCGCTCGCCGCCACCCCGGCCTGCTTCTGCTAGGGTGACAGATGGCCTCACCTGTCACCCCCAGGCCTGCGCTTATGGAGGACGGAGGTCGTTCTGCGACCTCCGGCGCCTGAGTCGCCTGCGCTGCCTGGCCCGTGCCCGGGCCTGGCGGGCCGGGAGAGTTCTAAACCTCTCCCGGTCCCGCTCCGCCGTCTCCTTCGCGAGCATAACTTGCTCGCAGAAGGAGACGGCAGAGTTCCACGCACTCTCGCTCCGCACGATAGCCGCAATCAGGCTATCGAGCGAGAGAACTCCCACTCCGATGGCCGCCACGAGGTCTCGCCTCTGCTCAACCCACGCCGGGCACTCTGCCAGCGTGTGGAGAGCCGTGTCCACGGTCTGGCCATCGCAGTGGTGGCACTCAGGCGTTGGCTCCTTGCGGATCAGACACAGGTGATCTCCGAAACATCCCTTCCCAGTGATCACCTGCGTCAATCGGTATGAGAGGGTCCCGTGACGCCTCTCGAGCCAATCCTCCATAACGGGTCTTACCGCCGCAATGACGGCGTGCCCGGCGCTCGGTTGCCCGAGTCGTTCCCTCCACTCCCCTATGATGACCTGGCGGAGTTGGGATTTCCGGTCATCGATTTCTCGAATCTCGGGGCATCGACCCAACTCCTGCGCCTCCTTGCGCCACTGATACAGTGCTGCAAGGGCTCTCGCCTCCAGGTCCCACGGTGGAGTTCCGGCCAGGAGACTCGCCGCCTCAAAGGAGATCGTGCGGTACCCCCTTATGATCCTGATGGCCAGCATTCGCTGCGGTCGCCGCAGTATCGCGACGTTGCTGGCCTTCAGGGCCCCCGCCCATACTGGGCACCCGTAAAGGGCCATGGACCGCACAACCCCCGAGTAGAGTCTCCGGCAGGAGTCATCGGGTCCCTTCATGTTGGGCAGCAGCCGCGCCAACGCACGCGCTGCCCCAACCAACTTGGGGACCAGACCTCGGAAATGATATCCGAAGTCCCATCGGCCATCGAGTACGAGCCCCAGATACTTGATCGAGGGCTCGATGCCGATGCGAGTGCCTCCTACCGTGAGGCTAGATCCCTCAGGCGGCTTCCTCCGAAGCCCGTGGAAGAACAGGGCCTCGGACTTGTGCAGAGCCACCTCGAGACCCAGCCGCCGGATACGCTCAACGACTTGGGCAACCCCGGCCGTGGCCCTCAGGGTTGCCTCGTGGTGCGTCTTGCCGCGCGCCGTCACGAGTGTGTCGTCCGCGTAGCACACGACGGCGACACCATCCAAGAAGGCACCACGAAGCACCCAGTCGTAGCCGATGTTCCACAAGAGTGGCCCTAACACCGACCCCTGCGGAACACCGCACGACATTTCACGCCTACCGAGACCGGTCCTACTGGGGTAGACGACGGCTCTCTCCGACAAATATGCCCCGACTATGCGGCGGAGGTAGAGAGGCACTTCGTGATACACGAGCGCCTCCCTGATGCAGCTCCAGGGCATAGTGTTGAACGCGTTGGCGATATCCAAGGACACCGCCAACACCACTTCACCCCGGGAGACTGCTTCCTCCGCCAGAGCCTTCACGCGCATGATCGCATCCACGGTGGAGCGCCCCTGGCGGAAACCGTACTGGTTGTCCGCCAGATCCGGCCCAACCATCACGAGATGCTTGACGAGGCGCCTTGCAATCACTCTTTCAAAGAGCTTGCACACCTCGTCAAGCAACACTATGGGCCGGTAGGCGGACGGTGAGTCCGCCGGGCGCCCCTCCTTTCGGATGAGGACCAGTTTCCCCGTCCTCCACAATTTCGGAAACTGGCCCCGCTCGAGGCATGCGCTGAAGAACCCTCGCAGTCGGGGCTCGAGAGCCTCGTCGACTAAGGCCAGGACCCACGCTCGGCCAGGAATGCCATCGGGTCCCGGGGCGGTGTTTTTGGCTTTAAGCCGTAACACCGCCACCCTTAGTTCCACCCCAGTGACCTCAGGCACGTCGTCGTCATCCACGTTAGGCGCCTCAAGCGCCGGAGGCGGAGCCATCTGTGGCGGAGTATGCTCCACCACTCGCGTTGGGAACAGGGAGCCAACGACCCTCTCAAGCAGCTCTGGCTGAAGACACCGTGTGAGCGGCGGGGCCCATGGGCGCATCTTGCCCCTAACCATACGGTAGGGGCGTCCCCACGGATCCCGCTCCAGTGTCTCCAGCATCTCGCGGCGGGCCTCGCTCTTGGCCCGCTTTATCGCTGCCTGAAGGGTCCTCTTGGCAACCCTGTAACCCGCTAACAGCTCCGCCTCTCTCGCTGCCGCATCTTCGGGGCGGCGACGCCTCCTGCGGAACCTGGACCACTGGCGGCGCGCGGTCACGCAGGCTTGACGCAGCCGTGCGATCTCCGGCGACCACCAGTAGACCCGGCGCCTCGCAGTATTGGGCTGAGCCCTAGGCATCGCCGCATCGCAGACGCGGGTCATGGCCTCCCGGAACCACTGTGCCTCATCATCGACGTCGACAGGCCTGTCCGGCGCAGGAGCCCAGGCCTGTACGATGGCGGCTTCCAGGAGGAGGTCGCGATCTAAGCGCTTGAGCGCCCAACGTGGTTCAGGTGGTGCCGGTCTGACCGGCGCGCCATCTGTAGGGGCGGAGACGTCAAACCGAATATATCGGTGATCCGAACCTGTCTCCTCCCCGACAACGACGCGCCAGCCTTGGACACGACGCGCTAGCGAGGGGCATGCGAACGAGATGTCCACAATCGAACTACCCCTCGCCGTCACGAACGTGGCCACGGCCCCCCGGTTTAGGAGAACTAGGCCGAATCTTTCAGCCCAGTTCTCCAATGCCCTGCCCCTCGGGTTCGTGCGCAGGGAACCCCAAGCCTGCGACCAGGCGTTGAAGTCCCCCAGCACAAGAACCGGGTGGGGGCGACAGGCATCGACGACGACGGCCAGCTGAGCGAGCCATTGCTCGAACTCAGTTATGTTTCGGTTCGGCGTGAAATAAGCGGCCACGACCGCTATATCTCCAACTATCGCCGCTACACAGCCCCGTCCCCTTGCAACTACTGCAAGAGGTGGAGTGCCGGCTGCGGTACCGTGCACCAGGGCCGCCGTGCCGTCCAAGTCGGTCTCCCAGGCAGGCCCGAGAAACCGATGGACATATGGCACTAGGCGGAACCTGTCCCTACTATTTTTATCGAACTGCTGATAGATAAACACACTTACTTAAATATTTCTAAATAGGTGCATACATGTTATAGATAAATTACACCCAGACACAGAACAACTAATCGTGCTCCAGCCCCGGATCTAGGGGGTGGAAAACCGGGGCACCCGCCACGGGCGGCAGTTTCAGGGGTCCCAAAATCGGAATATAGTATGATTAAAAATAAAAAAATTGCTCCACAGCGCCTAGCATACGAAAGCCTGGTTGGCTCACCGTCAACTTGTAAGAAAAAGGCGAAAAAAAAAAAAAAACATTATTATTAATTTGTGAGTTTTTTAAGTAATTTATCTCAAACGCTGGAGAGAAGGACGCTACTATCAAGTTTATGCCCCAGTTCGAAAAAATCGTAGATCCGGGGGCATAAATTATACAACATTAATTCATAAAAATAATTTAAAATTGTTCTCGTATAAAATTACGAAAAGTGCAACTATGCCTTTGACTTACTGAACTACCTACTAGATATATGTATACCTATCTGATGTATTGATGCCTGATTATTGCACCAGGACATATGCAAACTTTTTTATTGCAACACGTAGCCTGATATGTATTCTGGTAGTGTATCAAAAATTGGCTTTAGATTCCGTGGTATATTTGAGAGAGAAAAATATTTCGTTTCACAAACTTTGGTTTCGTTGTCATTTTTGGAAGGGATACATTAATACTTGTTATTTAAAAATATGTCTTATCAGCTATGTATATTGTATATACGTGGGAGAGCCATGCTTCGGCACGAATGGGCCGGCTCGATAGGAGTGATACCACGGAACTGACTCGAGCGGGAGGAACTCCAAGGGCGGCAACGCACTTGTGACTTTTGAGTTGCAGGTGTCCATGGGCAGCGGTAGTTGCTTACCATCAGGTGACCCGTCTGCTCGTTTGCCCCCTTATACCATAAAAAAATATAGGATGCATTAGTTGTATTATATATATATTTAGAAAAATGTATAATTATTTATGTATATTATCTATAAATATCTAATTATATATGTATGTAAATACTAATTTTTGTTGTTTCGGTAAATACCTAACGAAGGTGGACCCCTACCCGCACCACACGTAGTCTTTCACTGGAAATGAAAAAAAGCTGTAATTCAAAAGTTAAAAAGTTTTGATATCAACGTCTGTACTTTGAATACTATTAAAGCCTTAGCAAAACATCAGTGCTATTAAAAAGCAAACCGCATTTATGTGGATATCTGGGTTTTATTTAGTTATTTCACTTTACTGAAGTTAAAAAGAAAAAGTAATAATTAATTTATCTTACGATGTATATATGGTAAAGCATTAACAAAATAAAAACAGAATTTACTAAAAAAATATTTAAAAAGTGACAGGCGAACTTCCCTTTTAAGGTGACAGCCCTGATACAGATTTTCAATTTATCTTTTCTCAAATATACCCCGGAACTTAAAGCTAATTCTTTATACACTACTAGAATACGTATCAGGCTACGTGTGGCAATAAAAAAGTTTGTGTATGTATTGTAAAAAATAAAAACTGAAATAACAAAAATTAAACCTGATATACTACAGGCATTTACGAAACATATTAAACTCTTATTATGTAGTTCTAAGGGGTCTATGAAACAGTGTAGAGTTTTTGAGTTTAGTGCTATTCGTTATTCATCAACAGCCTTTAATAGTCCACTGCTGGTCATAGGCCTCTCCTTAGAAAGGAGGTTTTGGCCTTCTATACCACGCTAGCCAGACGGGTCGGCATAGGGTTTGTGTTAAGTTTTTTCTATTCGTTATTAAATAGGTTATTTTTTGCCCCTTTTGAAATGAGTAAAGTAATAAATTTCAAATTTAATTTTTAGTAAACTATGTTGAATTTTCAAACATGAGTTTTACTATAACATTTATAAAAATGAGCCCTAAACGTTTGTTAAAAAACCAACATGTCCGTTTTTAAGGTCTCTTGACATACCTACTGAGTCTCATTTACCTAGTGTACCTGAGTATGGTTTTTTCTACAAAGTGAAGCTATATGCTGGTAACGGTATTATTGTATCATCACACATCACATCAACAGCTATTAAAAGTCTACTGTTGGACATAAGCCTCTCCTTAAAAAGGAGGTTTGTGGCCTGCTCTACCACGTTGGCTAGACCGGTTGGTATAGGTTTTGGTTTATGTCAAGTTTACCTTCTCCTTGCAGTGCTGTTCTCCTGCATAGTTTGCTCCGTTGGTCGGCTCTTACGACACCCACTGGATAAATAGGGGTGGTGACACTGTATTCTTAATCCGCCACTACACGGATGTATTAATGTATAAAAATTAAAATCCATAAAATTTCACTGAACGGGGTCGAACCACTATAGTGGCACTGTGATTTTCCAGAGCACACAATTGTTTGTTGTTCACACAAAGCTCGAATCATTGCCATATCGAGGTACTAACTACTCAAATTATCCTTCACCAGTACCTACCTTTTGGATTTAATAAATCCGAGAGAACAAGACATTTTGTTAGAATGTTTCTTCAATGTCAGTGCTGTATAATGCTCACAAAACCTTACTTCCTATTTTTATTTTTTTTGTTTACAAGAAGACAACAGAAGTATCCAATAGATGGCTCGTGCTTAAATAATTTTGTCAATTGCAAACAATACTTGTACTGTTAATAAAATTAAAAACAACTAACGGGTATTTGCCCCAAAGAGGGTCTTAATGTTTATTTCACTGGCCTGTTGCCTTGGTGGTTAGTGATCCTGAGTGCTTCACTAAGGGTTTGATTCACATCTACGTAGGACAATAAATAATCGTGAGATAATCACGGTCATTTGTTTTGTGTCTGGGTGTAATATATCTAAAATATGTATCTATTTCGAAATATGTAAGTATGTTTATCAGCAATATGATTACGAGTACCATAGCACAGATTCTGCCTTTTGGATCAGACGGCCGCTTGTGAGCTGAGCAATTGTGATAATCACAGGATAATATTGTCGAATGCACAATATTAAAATAAAATGATAGAGTTGATCTAAAAACGTTGGAGGTGGCGATCTGTGCAATGCAATGTTCAAAACACCGAGCTCATCATTATTCAGCGGAACAATTAAGTTAGCTCATATCTCAAAGTCACTAGTTTTTAGCTCAATTAGTCGAATACAATTAGCGTGAACTGCTCAATTAATGGATTTGGGTTAACAAAGCGATGCTAACCACTGTCGCTCCTTATCACCGGATAATGACACCGTGATAAGAGCTGTACCTACTGCAGTGTAACAGTGCGCAGAAGTAGGGACCGATACCTACGCGAGCGCTGCGCCCGCGCAGCCCCGAGCTTGTACAGGCATACGCTAATTGCGTGTTCTATTTATTCCTTATCCTCATGCGGTTGCTTATCTGCAGTGATAGCCAGTTATTTTATGTTAACTTCCTATCAATTAAAGACTAATAACATCTGTTATCGTTTCTAACATAATATCTTACTTTTTATTTTTATTAGGTACTATTTTTTATGAATTTTGTGCTTATAAATTATTATTATTTAAAAAAATTAGGTACTGTTATGTTGTTTAAAATTATGTATGCATACTAGCTGGGTCCGCGAAAATTAAATAAAAACAATCCTTGAAGCGGATATCGCGTATAAAAACTTTGCAAAACTTTTTGAGTTTTTGAAGCGTACACAAACCAACGTTACATTTTCATGTATTATTACATAGATTTATACGGACAGTAATTCTAAGTGCAAATGATTGTATAAAGAGCATGTTAATTTTTTTAAATCTGAATGTAATTAGTGTATTTTCTAAAATGTATTATAAATTTGGCTGCCTTATTTAATGTGTATGTGTTTAGAAGTATGTAAAGTAAACTGCAACATAAACATACGTTTAAATATACGTTGCAATAACACAGGCTCCACTCATTACGGGACCAGACGACCGGATTTGAGCATACCTATATCCAAACCTTTTCAACTTAAGACCGTGTCTTACAAGAACTCGAAAATGTTGAACTCCCAAGTTTGTGACCTTGTTGAACTGATAAATCTAGTGACTTGTATTCTATTCAACAAGATTGGTAAGATAGGAACTCGATCCACCTCTATCCGGTGTAATGGCCTAGGTCACTTAGGTACCCATACCCAGCGGGGATATGAAATACCACCTATACCTAGTTAGTAGGTAGTAGGTAGGTACCTAGGTAGTTCCTGCTGTGTAAAGAATTATTATAATCTTTTCTTTATTTATTTTAATTATATTAAAGACGTTGTTGTCTTTCAACAGACGATTTCACATAACTGTTAAATAATTTTATGAAAAAAAGTAATTAAATTTAAATTTCCAGGTGGTCCAATTGATTTCATGAATTTATTTATTTAGATTTTGTAATGGGTATATTTAAGTGACTGAAAACTGTAAAATTGGCACAATCGAACCATTAAGCTGACCTACATCGAGCCACTTACAGCAGCATATGTGTCGCTTGTCAGTTGTCACGTGTAGGAGCTGTTTGATGTTCTTCTCGGAAAGTTGCGATAAATCACCATTGTTTAATAATACTTTGTGTCGTCGTGGTGTGCTGGTACGCTATCACAAACTGATAAAGTGCCCATATAAAGTGACTATCTACACGTTGTAAACTTCCCGGTAGCTATAATTAATTAAGTACGCACAACACAACTGTGCTTTCTGCTATATATTGTGTTTATAACTGTGTATAATTGTTGTTCCTTGAATCATAATGTGAGTGGGGTTTGTAGTACATAGGTAGGTATGTATACCCATGTGTGGGTAGTTGTTATGTGCACAGTTGACACGTGTGTGCGAAACAGATGGCGTGCTGGAGATGTGCGAGGAGGGGCGCGAGTGCGTGAACTGCGGCGCGAACAACACGCCGCTGTGGCGGCGCGACGCCACGGGCCACTACCTGTGCAACGCGTGCGGCCTCTACCACAAGATCAACGGCGTCAACCGACCGCTCGTCAAGCCGAGCAAGCGGCTGGTGAGCACATTCCACACACTTGAGTAACGCTCTCTCTCTGAACAGGTGCCGACGCGGACCTCCTCACGCGCTTCTATAAGGAGGGCACCGTGCAGAGATGGATGAGTGTGGAGGGCATGGCCAGGGGCATGAAGAAGGTGAGTCGGTGGCGTGTAGACTAGTGCATGCATCCCCTCCCCGGCGCACGCACGCCCCCCTACTTAGACTATCCTTCCTTTTCGTAAGGGCTTTGGCGAGTGTTAGGAAACTACACGCTACCGCTCCCTCTTCGAGTGTCGCCTACGCTTTACAGCACTCCGCTAGCACCGTCACGTACCGCACCCACCCAGCCCCATTCCCCCCGCGGCGATCAGTGGACGGGCCATTACTGACGATGGAGTTAGATAGGCTTATCAGCACCAGATATAACTAATCGATCGGTAATTGCATGTTTGTGAGTTTGGAACCGGCGACCGGCGTTGCACAATGACGTCAGTACTCTACCTAGACTATCAGTGGGCGCATTCCCCGCGGAGCGAGATAAAGCGCTGCCGGTGGGTCGCAGGGAGCCGTCACTCGCGGTTAGCAGCACTAGCGTGTATAGCTTCATAGATCGTGAAGGCGCGTATCTGTGCCGGGCGGCAGACAGGACAGGTAGCGGCCAATGGGAGCGAGCGGCGGGCCCCACCTCGCTCCTCATTGGATCGCGCCGGTGCATGCCAATGGACATACTCTATCTGTCGATTACAAAATGGCGGTACCCACTAGATATATGTACACATAGCGGCGTGTACCTCAGCTACTCGATGGTGATGGTGGGTTACGAGGTGGCGGTGCAATGGTTTTTGTTTTGTTTTGGTGTTTGGTGCCCTCTACACTTTATTCCAAGCTTTCCTGTTAACGTTAACACTTTGATTTTGTAGTTTGTGGAATGATTGGCATGTTGATATTATCTTTTATTTGTAGCTTAAATATATCAAAACTCTGTGTTTCCCTCTAGCACTTGGTCGTCCTTCACGTAGAGAAATTGGTGAATATCTGAGCTGCTGTGTTAAAGATATTTAGATAGCTTACTAGCTTGGTACCTACTGCTCCCCGGGGACTAGGAGCCATCCATTAATTACCTCACACGAATTTCATGGTTTTCTGACCCCACCGTTGAGACTCCACACTCGTTAGTTTAACGTTACAAATTTTGCAATTATTCATCCACAAAACTATTATATTAAAACAGCAGTTCCGAAACTTCAGACTAGTTTTTAATAAAATAACATCACATCATCAATCAACATTTGAGAAAATTATTTAAACAAAATACGATAAATTATATTAATATTAATACAATTTCGTGTTTTAATACTTAGATATATTTGATTTTGAAATGACATTTTGAAGTGACAATGTCACACTCCACATGTCAACCCCTTCTCCTCCTCTTAAGGTGTGACGTGATTTGTGGACGCCCCTCCCCCCCCCCCCAATTTACCAGTCACTAAAAGATTTGTTAAATCCTTTCTACCTAATATGTCTTTCAATGCAAACAAGGAAATTAGAGCTAACGGTAGTCTTATCACTGAACCGATGTCTACTACAGTTCATACTTAATTAAAATATTATAATAGAATGCATTTTCCCTTTAAAATTACATTTGAATTTTGTATTGACGTTATGATAATTAATCATACTTGTAATGAACAAGCTTCTACAATAGGTACCTACGATAATTTTGCTTCGTTTACCAGGCACAGGCAGAATAATTTACTTTCAAATAAACAACTTCGTAGGATCCAATATCATTATTGTTTGTAATAATCTGTATTCGTAATTCCTTAATGTTTCACCATAAGTGGTTTTAGCCCTTTTTTCTTTAAATTTAAATGGGGCCAAACGAAAAGTAGGTATACCCTCTAAAATTAAAAACAAAGTATTTTGAATTTTCCAAGTTTGTTCATAAAGAGTTCTGAGGCAATAAACGTTAAGAATATACAACCACATTGAGCCCCCCCTTTTTTGTTGAAGTCGGTTCAGTATAAATGTCTACTGCTTACCCCTCTTAGGCCCTCAATTAAAAAGTGGTTCAATTTGTGTTAGTCATGTTGTGACCTCTGGTTTTTAACCAAACTGTCGTGTTCATCTCTCACCTCCAAGTTGTATCAGAATATAACTAGATGCCACTTGTGTGTGAGCTAACAACACGTGTCTGATCATATTGCAGTCAGCACAGCGACGGCACGGCCAGTGCTGCACCAACTGCGGGTCTCGGAACACCACACTGTGGCGTCGCAACAATGATGGGGAACCAGTTTGCAACGCGTGCGGACTTTACTACAAACTGCATGGAATCAATAGGTATGTTAAACCCGATGACTAGTTTCCTACCTTCCTACTTATCCAATACTGTAACTAAAGCCTACGCATATCTAGATGTCTATATCTTGCCAGATTTTTGGTTTCTATCTTACTTATTCAGTTGTTGTACTCAGATTCTACGTAGATTTTTTGGAGTTTTCCTTAAAAAAATAAAAAAAAATGATAATTGAGGTAAATTTTTGAACTTACAAGTTTTCGCGAAAATCTCAAACTCAAACTCTTTTTATTTTATAATTTTTTTTAAATTGTTTAAAATCGTCTTTTAATGTGACTAAAGTCATAGATCAACACACACAAAAGCCACAATCTCTGTTTTGTCAAATAGTAAGCAAATAAATTTAACAAAAACCAAACCCATTCAAAATCTATGATATGCCTGTGCCGATCTACAACCGCCCGTTACCAATGGGTTGAGTCTTATGAAAAGAAAGAGCAAACAAACTCATGACCACTCTTCTGCAATTCACAGGTAGATACAATGGCACTATTAACTATACCACAACATTGTTTTGATGTGTGCCAGTATGTCCGTTATTCAGTACTAAAAGGTTAAGAGACAATGAAGAGAAAACAAGATTAAGAAATCTAAATTTATATTTAATTTATTAAAAAAAAATTTTGCATGCTTTTTATCGTGTTGACTCAGGACCTTGATTTTTATTTACCTAATAGGGACTACAGACTTCAGTATCTGGTATAAATTTCAACTTGCTAGTACCACCCGTTCCTGACAAAATCGGCGGTGACACACGTACAGACAAACGTACAGACGGACAAGAGAGTGATCTTATAAGGGTTAATTTTTTACCTTTTGAGGTACGGAACCCTAAAAATCGAACGAAAATAGAGTAAAGATAATGTATTATTTAGACTAAACTTAATAAAATGGATGGTCATCGTAATAAAGTTGCTTATTAAAATTAGTATTCAATTTCTCTAGTTTATATTTATTCTTAAACTAAAAATTCCTTTTCTCTTCTCCGCAGGCCATTAGCGATGCGTAAAGATGGTATCCAGACCCGAAAACGCAAACCAAAGAAGTCTGGCAACGGAACGAAACCTCCCCAGGACAATAACAAAAAGGATGACCATAGTTCTCCTGGACTCGAAGGTTCGTTAACTTCAACATCAGCCCAAGTGTCTACCTACTTTGAAGAGGCTAATTTGCTTTATGTCTTTCTAATACGACTATTTTACAATCTTTAGTTTTCGCATTCCATAGTACCTATATAATTATTAATTATGTACACGAGAATCGATGCTATCGAGCAACAGGCATTAGATAAAACCTTCATATTGGCTGATTTTTTGACCAGCGTAACGTGGCTGAACTGTAACTACTGTAGGTAGGTACGACTGTACTGTAGGTACAAGAACGATTTAGAAACAAGAATGTAAATAAATCAAAACGGAGCCTGCCGTTAAAAATATATTTGTCAACAGCTACCTAAGCATTTCATAAACCGATTATTTTATTTAAATTACAGACAGCAAACAAAGTGTAGGAGAAATGCCTCTTCCTCTACCCTTGACGCAGTCGATGTCTAGTCACAGCCAGAGCACGAGCAAGCCGCAGTCGCCGCCGGCGCACATCCACGCGCACGCTCAGCACGCGCACGCACACGCGCACGCGCAGGGCGCCGGTGCGCATGCGCAGTACGCGCTCGGCCTGCCCGCCGCGCCCGCCTTCCTCTCCAACCCCTCGCTGTTCAACATCAAGAGCGAGCCCAGCACCGCCAACGGATATGAGTCTTATTCCGCTCACTCCGGCGGACACTACCACTCACAACAGCACTACCTACACGCCTTACAGGTGAGCGTTTATCCACCACGTAATGTAATCACCATGAAAATGGTACACAGTCGAGATTTATCAAATTTCCAATTGCGTTTATATAAAAATAAAAAGGTTCTACCCCAAAGATCTTCAATAAATCCAGAAATGGTCTCGTTAAAGTACAACTGTATCTACATCTAATTCTTCCTCTCTATAAGGAGTAACTTAGGCTATTTTTCCTCTCAGAATCCGGTCTCGGAATCAGGTCTGGGCATCGAACCCTCACAGACTGCAGTCGAGTAACGTACTACACCACTAAGGCAGGGCTTTACAAATTCGACGCTAACGAAGTCGCGGGTACCACCTAGTTAAAAATAAGAATAAACGCCTTGTGGTGTCGTGGTACACCCGATAGGAACGAAGATTGTTATACTATTTTACAAATATTTCATTAAAAAAAATTAAAAAAAGTGTCGGCCAAAAGTCTTGTTACACATTTGTCGATTTCCGGTTGCCGGTTCCCAGCCGCTCAGAGCGTTTAAGGCCCGGGGTTCTGTGAACGTCGGTCGCGTGCGACCGATGACCGACGCGTGTCCTCCGCCTGTGGCGTACGCCGTCGGCCGCGTGCGAGTGGATTCTTTGGACGCGGGCGCTAGCGTCATGTAGTCGTGATTGTGTGATGAAAAAAAACAAGTTACGATCGTCTTTCATTTGCTCTCAATGCTAATATCATTTGCTAATATTGCACTTGCAATATTAGCATTAGAAATTAGCATGCTAAGACACAAGAATTCGCAATTAATTAAATTAATCAAATTAGCATTAATGCCTATTACTACTGACAAGCCACGTAGTAAATACAAATACACGTAGGTATATATATGAAATGTGAAAAAGATGTGTGGCGACGCGCGGACTGCCACAGTCAGTGCAATGACGCGCGGTGCGGGGAGAGACTACCTAGTCAAGTCAAACTGTACATATATGTACTTGCAGCCGCGGCAGCCGCCGCTCTAAGTCCCGGGGTTCTCTAACACGCGACCGACGACCGACAAGGCCGGTACCGTACGAATGCCGTTTACGGAAATGATCTGCGCTGCGTTCTTGGAAACGTCGCCGGCAGCGTAAAGTGCGACGCAGCCGACGCCGTTTCTGAGAACCTGATGTACATATGTATGCGGCGATTTAGATACATAGTGTTTACTAGCGATCCGCCCCGGCTTTGCACGAGTGCAATGTAGACATTATTAATAGATACTACTCGAAGGTGGGGACGTCCTACATGAGTAGTTTTTAAAACTTGCATTTTAAACCTCTAATATCTTCTTAAATATTCATTTTAATGATACGCTGCAAAGAGCAATTTTAATCTACATTAAATGCCCAATGTGTTTAACGTATTTAATTGGATAAGGAATGATAAATGTATCATTTAAAATAGCCTCGTAACTAAGCCATTTTTTTTGTAATATTTAAAAGATAAAAATCGTTACTGTGGTTTATCCTTAGGAGATAGACATATACCATCGAAAACTTTTTTGTGGATCTTTTTAAGATATACAAATCCGTAGTACATTATTTTGGTCTATCTCGTAAGGTTTAGGCAGCGTTAGCAATGTAAGCGAACAAAAACATGTTTTTTACGACAAATCTTTGAAATTCTTGGTTTATCTCTACTATGATATGCATGAATTATATCTACATATAAACCTTCCTCTTGAATCCATTTCTCTATTGGGAAAAACGGCATTAAAATCAGTTCCTTAGTTTAAAAGATTTAGGCAAGTGCGTGCGTACTAAAGCAAAAAGTGTCGGAAAAAAATCTTGTTACACTATTTCGATCTAGCCCCCATCCGCCTAAAGCGCGATAAGGAACTTTGTTCCAAAAAAAAAACAGGCACTAAACATATCAAGGATAGCTTATTGTGTGCGAATCATTGGGTAATGATCAGCTATGGTCTACTTATCAGATTTGTATTGAGATAGGTACCAACTTAATTCCTTCTCCAGAAGTTGTATTCTCAGTTCTGAATACATAACTTTCCCATGTGTAATAAACGCGACCTAAATATACTTAGTTTAATTGATCTAACTAAAATGTTTACAATTCCAGTACGGCCTCGGTAATGGTGAGGAAGAAGAAGGCAGCGGGTTCCTGCACCAGCGCAATGTGACAGCTCACGCCAAGCTTATGGCCTCCACGTAGCAGCGCCAGCCGCTGCGCTAGCCTGCAACCCTCGACATATGTGACCACTCCGCTGCTGTGTAAACGGCCACTGTAAAAGGGCTATCAGTGCAGAGATCCAATTGTGAAAAGGTTTATTCGCAGTTTGATGTTCGACTGCAAAGGATCGCGTAGGAGTGAATAAAACTGCAATTACACAATTGGATTAATTTCACTTGGGAGTCTTCTTGTATTTATGGACACTTAAAACGATTTCAACTTCCATTAGAACTGTTAGTGAGCTTCGACGAACGAGTGTAAGGTTTAGTTCGTAGCGTCGATCGAACACGATGTAAATATAGTGTTAGTTATAATGACAATATCGTAGGACTGTATCATATTTGTTAATAGCGAGGCATTGCAAGTCGCCGCCCGCGAACACCTTGCCATACTGACTGAGGCGTCGGTGACGCAAATATTAAGTGTAATTTTAACGTTCCATGACAATTTTAATCTCGAATACTAGTCTAATGATTATGTATGAATGTAGACATTCGTTTATTCTACATAGTATTTATAAGATCATTGTTGGATTGACCAAGTTGGTGCAAGAGGGGATAGCTATAAAACGATCACGAAGACACTTGATGCAATAGGTACGAGTATATTCCTTACGACGGGGTCGTTTAATTTGGTAGTCTTTCGTCTGGGAAACAAACTTGTCACTTGGTATCTAATAGAGTTATATTTTTAGTTGATGACGTAGGTAACCTTTGTTGACTCCAATGTAGTTTAATTTTTATTAAAATCTATTGTATAAAAATCTAATATTTTCTGATTTCTTTACACTATTTCCATTACTTCGTAATAATTATTTAATAACGATTTTCCAAGTGCAAGTTCATGTACGGGAACCGACAAGACCGAAGAACAAAAAACAAAAGTGTAGCAACATGTTTCCCGAGAAAAAAAATAAAAAGCTATAACCCGGACAGTGTGTACTTTTAGGAAAGGGTCACTCACAAAAGCTTGGGAACTATTAGTACCTAGATGCATAGATAAGTATACTATATAATTTTAGAGGAGAATGTAGGTATCTGGCTCCTCGATCCGTTTTCCATTATCCAACAATGGTCGTCCATAACTTGTAAATAAATAAATATACCTAAGTAATTAGTTTAATTAAACAGTATTCACATTAGGTCAATTAGCCTATAACCATGTTTGATATAGAACATCACTTTGGTATAGGGCTTAATCCGTAGCCACTCTCGGCATGACCACCGTAATCTGTGTGTGTTTGACAAATGAGAATATCAAGTATTAATGACCGCACAATAATGTTTAAAAATTAATATTGTGAAGAATTACCTACAGGTGGCATAGCAGATGCCATTGAAAAAAAAATGTGTACCTATAAGTAAATAAGGTTAGTGTGTGCCGACCACTTGAATATGAAACACACATTTGCAAACAAACTACTTAAAAATGCAATTTAGGTAGTAACTCATATATGACGTGCAGTACGTTACACCATAGAGGTTTTGTAATTCATGTCAATAGTTATTACACAAAGACAAACTTCTTCCTGATAATTTTTTTCACCTTTGTGTACACCACTACTGTCGCCGTATCGCCGCAATCGTTACATTAGACGTGTAAATGAGATTATGAAACTGCCCCGCTCACAATGCACTTCTCACTTATTCACAATTCCACGTTTGTTTTCAATACCATAGTCTTTGGCGAACATGAAACCTAGTAAATACTGGGCTTGCCTGCCTACTTTTCTAAAATATTCTTATCATTTCCTTGCTAAATTACTTTTGCCACCTCTATCCTATACCAGTATTTGCAATAATTTTCTTTTTATTTCTATAGACATTAATTTTTTCTTTCTTTAGCTTTTTCGGCCTACTTAGTGTAGGGCTCCTTCACCATTTTCCATTGTTCTCGACTTTAACTCTCTGCGCGTCCAGTCCACCCTCATTTCGTAGACAAAATAAAATTACTTACCTGTTTTAAAAAATACTATTTTTTTTTTAACCTTATTATCTGTAATTCCTTACAAGTATTTTGAAGCAGTAGGTCCGATTATGTAGGTTATTTCGTAACAGAATTAAATGCTTAACTATAGTACACACATTGTATTCATCCTTCACTAAGAATCCACATAGTGACTTATCAGCCAGTATCACTTGCAATATTTAAGGTATGCACTATTGTGTAGTATGTGTAAAAGAAATTATAAGTCGAATTGAGATCTGATTGGTATTTTCCATCTACCTACATTCTGATGACATGTGAATACTGAAAAATGTTTTGCAAACTTGCAAAAATTGTGAGCCACCAGAACAAAATTATCTTAGTTTCATATTAAACAAATGGCATTTATTACAATGTACATATAATTAGGTGTATAGTTAGAATTAAAAAAAAAACAAAATTACTGTAAAATCTGTTTATATTGTACAACTCAGCACAGATTAACACAGAATACATTGGCATAATGTTTAACACTTGAGCTTTATTGGTATTTAAAAGCAGTTCATGTTACATTTTGTGACAATAAAGCCCAAGACAAGGTATAAATAAGTAAATCTATGTACAAGTTGACTTTTATTGTATATGATAATATGAAATATATAAGTGAGCACACAACAATGACTTTCTACCAATCCCTTAATCATCCACTGACATATACTTCTGCAGAGCATCTCCAGTCAGCCTGTAGTAGCACCACTGTTCTGATTTTGTCATGTTCACTGCACCCTCATTCTCATAGAACGACCGTGCTGGGTTCCATTCAAGCACATGGAAGTCTAAGCGGCTGCAACCAGTTTTTTTAGCTTCCTGAAAAGTTTGTATACATTTTTGTAAGATGATAGTCAATATATATTGTTCAATTATATTAGTCAATATATATTCTGGTTCTGATTCAAATAGGTAGGTATTTAATAGGTGGGTACCTTAGCCACAGATTTAAAAAGTTTCTTCCCGATGCCTTTACTTCTTTGGTTCGTACGGACATACAAATCTTCCAGCATCATAGAGCGTCCCTCCCAAGTGGAGTAAGTAGGGAAGTAAAGTGCATACCCCACCACAGGGTTTGTGCCCACAATAGAATCATCAACTGCTATCTTGCAGTGGAAGGCAGGCGGATCTCGAACGAACCCATCATGTTCCAGATCTAATAAAATGAATTGTTCATGTATTTTAAGAAGTTGTGATTCATTAAGTTCTTACTGTTACTCATGATGTAATAAAAATATATTTATACATTTTGCTAAGTTACCTTTAACAGACATTTTAGGGCCAGTCGGCATTTTTTCGAAGTCGGCCAATTCCTAAAAACCAAAAAGTATGATAAATAGTTAGTTTGCACTCGTAAACATTTCGTTATATTTTCGTTCGCTTACATCAATTTCAAATATTATTCAGCCTTCACCAGCTTACTGCCGTCTAAATAAATATTTAAAATCACCTGTATCATTTCTGCGACTGCCGACATATCTTCTTTCTTGGCCTGTCGAATTTGTATTTTGCTCTCTACTTTCTGATCCGACATTATAAATAGAATTGTATTAGTTCTATGGTATAATAAAAGTATCACTCTTCGCTGCCAATCCAAAGAAACAAATCAAGCAAAAAAAAGAAAAACCAACGAAACGTGATAACCAGATAGAGGGTACTGAATACTGTCAAACTGATTAGAAATGTCAGCCCCCTAATTTGAAGTTTTAAATGTAGCAGAATTCGCGCTCCGTCGTACGATTGGTTGCACAATGAAATTGACAGAGGATTCATTTTTTTTAATTATTTTTATTCATGACCATAGATACAAGTCTTTCAGTCGAAAACATAGATCGACAGAAGTATCAAGTTGAGTATATAGTTTGCCATACATAAAAAATTTAATTGAAAACGTTTGTAAAATTGTGTAATTAGAAATTGCTTTGCTTCGTGTACAGATGGCTAAATATTGTCTTTTCTTTAAAACACAATTCACAGTCGTACTTTTAACACAGTATTATATTGGACTTCCTAAGGTCACTTTTGAAGGTTATATGATATAATGAAAAATAATAATATTGTCGGACATTAACTAAACGCCATCTTGTTTCTATTTCTTAATGATGAATCCAATGCATAAAATCATAACCGCGATCACTTCGCATATATAGTTAAGAACTAGTAAATAAATATTAACTAGGTATCTACACCATTTGTTTAGTAAATTGTCAGACTTTTTCTTCATGATAGTTGTAAAAGTCTGAGAAATTATGATTTATTTTGAAAACGAAAGTTATCATGATTACATCACTATTTAAAATGTTTTATAACCATTGACCTCTAGAGGTCAGTATTTAGAAAAGAGAGAATTTTACAATTCTAGCTATTGATTGTAACAACTATGTATTTTATGGTTTAACAATATGTTAAACCATAAAATACATAGTTACCTACAACTCCATTACATTAAGCACCATTCTGATAAGACTATGTCAGTGAGATCATTACAGAATTCTTTTTTTTTTTAGTAGGCTCTCATAAGAATATACAATATAAAATTGTATTTTATCAGAAAAATAAATCTACAAAACTACCCGAGACGAAATCAAGAGAATATTTAGGAATTTATTTCTGTTTCAATACGTAATAGAAGTGTATACTTATATATAGAGGTGTAGGTAACGGTAACAGTATCGCGAGTTAAATTATTTTTTCCCCATCTCAAAAAATACATTCTTTTGTTCGTTGTTCAAAAATGCTAACTACTAACACCATCTAGTGTATCTATGATGAAATTTGATTTACTATAATTTTTTAATTAAATTTTCAAGTTTTATCTTCTGTCGGCACTCCCGGAGTACCACCGTTTTTTTGTTTACGTTGAAGATGCTCATGGATGTCCTTCGCCCAATGGGGGAGGACGAAGGGGATTGTCGGACTTTTACCGACCAAAAAGTACCCCGATGTTCCTCTCCTTGCAATTGCATTCTTCCGCCATCCCCGACTAGCATTAACCCGTCAAACCCAAGACGGGTCTCGTCACCCGTTGCGACCGTCATCAGAAGCGCACACGGAACACTGTGTTCTTCACTATCGACGAATGCTCTTCGGTGCTGAGTGCGCTTTTTGCGGGTAGAGAGAGCGGTGCTGCGTCCTTGCTCAAGTCCCGCCGCTTCTTTTGAGGAACTCACCTATTCGCAGAAGGAAGCGACGGTGCTCCATGCACTCTCGCTCCCGACCATGGACAAAATCAAGGTCGAAAGCGAGACGTTACCAGCAGAACTGACTGCCGCGATAAGATCACGACGCCGCGACGCTGGCTGCCCAAGCTGGGCATTCTGCCAGAGTGTGATACGCCGTATCGTCAGGGCAGTCATCATAATGATGGCACCGTGACGCTGGTTCCCGGCCGATCCGACACAGGTACTTAGCGAAGCATCCGAGTCCGGAAAGAACCAGCGTCATCCGGAAGGTGAAAACTCCGTGTTTCTTCTCCAGTCACTCTCGTAGGACGGGTCTTACCGCTGCTATAGTAGCGTGCCGGCGGAACTTAATGCGTTTTAATGATTTTGACACAATAGGTATAATTAATAAGTTTTTAGTTTCCTTATCCGTTGTTGTTGATAGTCTACTAGCGTTCTTCGTATACCACTAACCTATAATGGATTTTTCGAGACTGGCATATCCTAAAAGATTCATTTCTCGTAGAAGTTAAGTGTATTAAAGTGGACATTAAAGTACACAAAAATCCATCATGTAAACCATTCAATGGATTTTAGTGGACAGGGGTGTGATCCGTGTGGTGACGGATTAAGAATACAAATTGTCACCACCCCAATTCATCCCGTGGGTGTCATAAGAGCCGACTAAGGGAGCAAACTAAGCAGGACAACAGCACTGCAAAGAGAAGGAAAACTTGAAACAAGCCCTATACCAACCCGTCTGGCCAGCGTGGTATAGTAGGCCAAAACCTCCTTTCTAAGGAGAGGCCTATGTCCAGCAGTGGACTAGTATAGGCTGTTGATGATGTGTGATGAGGGGTGTAAAAAGTAGCCTCTGTACTTCCTCAAGAATCAAATTATCTCCATACCAAATTTCATTTAAATCGGTTCAGCGGTTGATTCCCCATATCAACTTCCTTCCCCTTGAAGGATGATTTCTGGGATAAAAACTACTCCATGTCCTTTCCCGGGACTCGGACTATCTATATACCAAATTTCATCTAAATCGGTTAAGCAGTTTAAGCGTGAAGAGGTAACAGACAGACACACTTTCGCATTTATAATATTAAGTACGTATACAAGGACCACCATATTCCTTCTTAAACATTTTAGATTAAGGAGCTTTTTCGTCGGTGAAGGAAAAAGACAACGCCATCTTTGGACAAAGTCTCGTTGGTAAGACCACAGAGTGCAGTGATATTACTAGAAAGGTAAGACTAACAAATTGTTTCTTAGATATAATTTATTTTATATCATACTAGCTGACCCGCGCAACTTCGTCTGCGTCTCTCAATAGTAATAAATTTTCTCCGTTTTTGAAACATTCTTCATTGGTGCTCCGCTCCTATTGGTCTTAGCGTGATGATATATAGCCTATAGCCTTCCTCGATAAATGGGCTATCTAACACTGAAAGAAATTTTCAAATCGGACCAGTAGTTCCTGAGATTAGCGCGTTCAAACAAACAAACAAACAAACTCTTCAGCTTTATAATATTAGTATAGATTAGAAGTTTACGTTTTGTTAAAGTTCCCGGGGTATTTAAGTATGTTTATCAGCAGTCTGGCTACACAGACTCCACCTAATATAGGATTCGGCAAGTAACCCGAGTGTAATTTATCAACCAGGGACTTCCTTTCTAGGGTATACCTGGTTCCCCGGCTGTTAGTACCCGAGACGGCGTGCGGTTTTAGTCGGTTCGAGTCCGACATGCCACCGACAGGTGGTATCCGAGGGGATTTCCGCACGATAAAAAAAAAAAAAAGGCTCTGCCTAGTTTGGGATCAGACGGCCGTGTGTGAGATGTGTGCGGTTATTATTAATGATAAGTCTATATGAAATAAACTTACACTAAAGCCTCAGTAAGGCTCGTTGCTTTATTAATAAAAAACGACTTATTTTTGTAATGAACTGTATTTCAATGTAATATATTACAGATTCCTAAGTTAAATAAAATAATGATATCAGGCGCCGCACAAGGCACGACGCAACTTATAACGACAAAATAAAAGTATATGTGATCTGAGTTTAGTATAAAAATATTTTAGCAATAACACTATAGTACACATTTAATTTATTATTATATTTATAATTTTTACAACATACGATATAATTATCATTATACCAATAGAATATTCGTGTATCTAATCTAGATATTACAACTTGCCTAGTATTTACACATGATATTTGTCTACACTCCATAACAGATACCGGAAATATCGTTGTTTGAAAATAATTTGGAATATAAAGTTTTATACAATGGAATACTGGCGCAGTTCAAAACCTAGTTTTTTTTTTTTGGTTTAAGAATCTTTATTTCTCAAAATAATTTACAAAATTCAAAACCTAGTAAGAAGTTTAATATGAACTTCAAACAGCACAGAGAATATTTAAGTAAAAAATGTGTTTTTGACTGTATTAAATATTTATTACAGGTACATAGACCAAGTGTTTTAACATATTATGTGTATACTCTGACTATGTAAATATGATAAAATGTATCCACTATATAGTGAGCTTTCAACATTAGTGTTTTTGTATTGAACAGAGACTGAGAACGCCCTCTGTGTTAGTTACCGCTTCCACCTACATCTTCCCATCACTGGGTGGAAATCAATGGCACTGACCTCAAGGATAAGAGAGGGAACGGAGGGGGCCGTCAGTAAGGGCCAACATGATAGCTCGCAGCTTTACACTTTTTAGGTCGTATTGTATTTCATTTTCCACGTGCAGCCTGCGGGCGGGCTGTACTCAAGCGTCGTACAATCCCCTTCAAGTACAATATAATAACGCCTTCAGGGTGCCGATGGGGCTGCAGCGTTCCTGTAGTGTACCGGGGATGTTTATTGAATATCGCGTAGATTGCTTTTATGCCAGCAGCGTCGACAGTATCCTGAACATGATCTCTAGTGGTCTGGACTGTGGATACATCAATCATTGCTGAGCTATTGCGTACGGAATGGCGCAGCAATTATTGTTGTGTGTGTGTGCTCATATGTGTATTTTATGTATGTCTTTTTTTTCGTTTTGTGGTTTGTTTTTTATTATTACTGTGCTAACACTAGTCTCCAAGAATATTGTTATTAACAAAATGGACACCATGGTGTGAAATAAAGAGTTATTATTATAATGAAAGAATTTCTTAACACCGAAGTTCTGTGAGGCCGTGATATCACCCCGGGCGAGCCGGCCTATAGCTCTCGGTCAGCTGATAGTCAAATGTCTCTTACTAGGTTTGAAATGAGGTCAGCAGAGTAGTCAAAGGCATTTTATCAACTGGAACAAGGTGGTCGTAAAACAAGAGAATCAAAAGCCTGCCACGTCATTAAAACATGACAAATTCAATAATGATCGAATGAATTTTTTGAAATCAATTACATCCTCATTTGCATCTACAGTGGTATTTAGTAAAAGCTAATAAACATTCTACATTGTATCACAACATCGACAAACAGTGAAGACGCGGTGAGTGCCGGTGAGTCTGTGAGAGATTCGCTAGAAAATCGCCATAATACAAATTAAAAATGACAATAATAATATTACACGAAATATACATTTAAATAATAGCTTTTACATTTAAAAAGGATAAATATTGTGATACTCAGTGTCACATTTGTGATAGGTTAACTTAATTCAACAGAGCGGTAGAACTCTCCGATAAAAATAATAACAATCGGGAAACATTTTAAGTTTTCTTGGAAGAAGCACAATTCATAGTCAACCAAATTTAACTCACAACATACCACACATGTTACGTAGACGTGTACACGTTCCAATTTAGGGCTCACAACACACAACTGTGTTGTATTGATGATGTTTTACCACGAGACACGTGTTATGTGGCCCCACTACGACACGTGTCTATCTAGGAAGTGCTGTATCACAATCTGTTGAAGATAGAACATGATCGTTCAGTTGGAGTATATTGAACGACGGTGATGTCTGCACGGTGAGGTGTGTATTAGTGGGTGAGTGACAGTCACGAGGGTGGGGAGGGTGGTGAGGGTGGGGAGGGTGGGGAGGGTTTGTCCGCGCAGGGTCAGTGCGGGAAGTCGTGTCGCAGCGCGGCCCCGAACTCCGCGTAGGAGCCGCTCCACGCTCCTTGCGCTATCACCGACGTCGACGAAGCTGTTCGAACAGAAGACAGTACTAATATTTTATATACGACAAATGAACACATTCCTATACTCGAGTAGAGTTGAGGGAAGTACTTTAGGTATATGAGTCGTGATAACTTCTGTACCATGTGACATACAAACATATTCCGGATTTCAAAGTTGAGTGGAAGCTTTATTAGAGTTTACTCCTTAAGAATCGATGATTATAGAAAGCGCCCGGTATGAAAAAATATGAAGAGTAAAATTTAATGATCGAATGACCTCGTTACGTTTTTTGTGCGTAATATATCGTGCGCACCTTTCACATGTGTGTGTGTGTGTAACTTGTATACTTGTGTGCAGCTGCATCGTTCTTTAGGAATAAACTCCAGACGTGCGTCGGAGTTGACACACATACTTTTTTATAAATAATTATTTAGTTTAAAGTACATATTGTTAAAAAAGCTTTCTGCGCTTTTTCTACATTGTAACATTTTAATATTTCGAATAAAAAATTGGTACAGGAATTTTCTGTTTTTCTTTAATTAACTTATAGGAAGTACGTGCTGAATTAGGAAATAAAATACATTTTAGTATAATATCAAAGAATTCAATGTAGGATGATATTTTTGTTTGGTTTTCATTTTGAACATGAACATAATCATTCATTAAACATATTCGAAAGTTGTGAACGCTAATGACTGATCAGTGACTTACCAAGTTGCGCGATGAGCTTCTGCGGTGTGATGGGAGTGGTGGGGGTGCGCGAGTCTGAGCTGAGGTCGTCCTTCGTGTCTACTTCTGCACCAAACAATAAATAGTGCGCTATTAGACAACTTATGTAGAAGTTATTTTTGTCACTAATAGAAGTGGAACAAAAGTAATAAAACTCATTGCTGCGCCTGCAGTAGTCTTTTCTCTTTCTGATCTTTTTCTCCACACACACTCGAGAATTGTTAATCATGCCGACATATTTTTATATATGCTAATGTATTTTTAGGTATACAGATGAATCTTTACGCATGCTAATGCATTCTTAAGCATGTTGGCATATTTTTATACCGGCTAATGTATTCATAGGTATGTAGATTAATCTTTGTGCATACTAATGTATTTTAGGCATGTTGATCACCTCATCACGGTTGATGTGATGAGGTGATCAACAGGCTGTTGAGTCTCAAATAGTCCACCGCTGGGCATAGCCAAAACCTCCTTGGTAAGGCCAAGGAGGTTTTGGCCTACTACACCACGTTGGTCAGACGGGTTGATATAGGGTTTGTGTCAAGTTTTCCTTCTCTTTGCAGTGCTGAAGTCCGCGTAGTTTGCTCCCTTAGTCGGCTCTTACGACACATCATCATCATCAACAGCCTTTACTAGTCCACTGCTGGACATAGGCCTCTCCTTAGGAAGGAGGTTTTGGCCTACTATACCACGCTGGCCAGACGGGTTGGTATAGGGTTTGTTTCAAGTTTTCCTTCTCTCTGCAGTGCTGTTTTCCTGCGTAGTTTGCTTCCTTAGTCGCCTCTTACGACACCCACGGGATGAATAGGGGCTAGATGCATTTGAGGTAGGGGGAAATGCGCAGTTGTAGACGTACCTGAGGATGGCGGCTGGTCCCTGCGCTGGGCCTGCGCCTTGAGCAGCTTGCTCATGGTGTTGCGCGGAGTGGGAGGGGGGCGCTCCAGCGTGCGGCCGTGCACCACCGACATGTGCCGCTCCAGCATGTAGCTGGGGGGGGGAGGGGATGTTTAGTTGTTGCGCTTTGATATTATTAAGAGTGTGATGTGAGATTTAAGTTGGCCATATGATGGAAAGTAAGATGTTATATCTTAAGTACCTCATTATGATTTTTTTTTATAGACAATTTTTATCAATATTAGGAATTAATCATATTTTTGGACGTCTAACACACAACGCCATCTGCTTTCAAACTAATCAGAGCTTGTACTATGAAAGCTAGATTGACTGATAGAATACTTAAATCTGTTTCTTTGTAATACACACATATTATACATAAAAAACACTCAAACTCCAAAACAAATATTTGCAGGTCACGAGATCACTGAGGCGGTCGAATTATATTTGTTTTCTGGTTTTGTTATCAAAAAGTTTATTTATTTCGTAATTACAGGCACGTCAGCAGTAATAAAATACATGAAAAAAAAGGATATAAAGGGCAATTAGACTCGTGATGACTATTATATTTAGTGTAGTTTAATGGCGGTGATTATTTTGTTGTGTTTTAATATATTTTTATTAAGTGTAAGAATTTTTATGATTATAAGACTAGTTTAGTTGATATTGTCGAAATACAATCATGTTTTTATTAATATTATAAAGTTAATTCGCGTTAAGAAAATAGTGACGCATCGACCGAGTTCCGCCTCTTGACCGATCAGATTCCAAGTTTGCGTACGGAACGGTGATCTTTTCGAACGCGATCGGTCAGGGGCGAGGTTCGGCTGCGAGGAGCGAATTGCCTTTCTTTGTACAAAAGTATATCGGATATTTTGAAACAAATGAAACATTTTTTCGTAAGATAATTTTTAGCAGTGGAAGAAGGGAAAAAGTATGCAGAAGGTCGGTGCTCGTACTCACCGACGCTCGAAGCGCTCGACGCAGAAGGTGCAGCGGAACAGCCGCCGCTGCACCAGCTCGCGCGGGGCGGGGGCCGCCACCCCCGCCGCCTCGCCCGGGCTCTCGTGGGACTTGCTGTGCGCCGCCAGGTTGTACCTGCCGGTAACGACACACTCATGATTACCATTTTGAAGAGATCAATCTCTCTTCAGAATCTCACCGTCGATTTCGACCCGACGAGTATATCTCATCGCGGTGAGAGGCTGTAAGGCTGTAAGGCCGTAAGGCAGGTACCTCTCGGAGAAGCGCTTCCCGCAGACGGGACACTCGTGTCGCTTCTCGCCGGAGTGCACGCGCTTGTGTCGCTTGAGGTGGGAGCGCGTCATGAGCGCGAGCCCGCACACGTCGCACGCGTGCGGCTTCACGCCCGAGTGCGACAGCTTGTGCATCTTGAACGACGACGTGTGGATGAACGACTTGCCGCACAGGTCGCACTGCAACACACCGCACGAGTCACGTCCACACTCACCTTCACCCGCATCTCTACTCATTGTTTCGTAAAAAGGGACGAAACCGTGTAAGAGGGAGCGGAAAACGTGTAATTTGAAACAAAATCGTTTGAAAATTGAACGTCAAATAAAAGGTGGAATGTCAGATATTCGATCTAACTTTACTTTCGATAATAACTATACGCATCTTAAACATGACCGTCTAATTCCAAACTGGGCAGAGTCTGTACTATGGTAACCAGACTGCTGATAAACATACTTATATATTTCTAAATACATACATACATATTATAGATAAATTACACTCAAACACAAATGATCGTGTTCATCACACAATTATTATGAATGTATTACAAAACGACAACAATTTTTGAACCATATTTACAAAAACATTTTAAACGATTCAAATTTAGCTTATAACTTTCACATGCAAAATACCTGAATTTAATATTGTACCTGATAATTTAATTTCCCAGTGTGTATATTGTTATGCCTTTGCAACGCATTTTTTGAGGGGAATAGTTTATTGCACTCTTCACATTTCCAATCACTTATACCTGAAATGAAACGAAATCAGAGAATATATAACAATAATATACGCAACGGTTTTTGCTTCAACATTTAATCAATTTCGAATATCAAATAGATGAAGGTATTTAAATTTTCGATCCCATCGCAACAGTTAAAAAGTTTTATGAGACATTTTTTTTCTTTTAAAATATATTTTTAACAATAAAAAAGTCAAAGGTAAATATCTAATGGAACGAGAACTCCTTTGGAAGAGTTTATCAGCAAAATCGAATCAAAAATTGGGAGATTAGTTAAAATATTGAAAGTATACAAAGAGCATAAATTACTTATTTAATTAAGTCTGTGGCATAAAAAAATACATAGCTTTTAACTGTGTCCATCACTCCATATTATTTAATAAGCTTAATGCAAATGGTGTTAAATGAAATGTCAATGGTGTAATAGAATCATATTTAAAAAATAAAGAAGACAAATGAAGCAAATCAATAGAATCGATAATAATGTCGATTGTCAACACCACAAACGTTGTGGAGTACCGCAAGGCAGCGTACTGGGTCCATTACTCCTTTTGATATACATATATGTAGAAATGACTTTGCGTAAAACCTACGGTTAATTATCTATCGTTCTTTTGCGGACCCTAAAAATACTGAAACTGAATTCAGAAATCTCATTTACAACAAGAAAAATATTATCAATTTTGTATATAATTTATGTATAACAACAGAAAGCAAATAGTCAAATATATTAAAAGATTCAAATTCAGTCAGAGACATACATAATGTATAGTGTTATGTGATTAAACACATAATATGTATTACCTTTATGTAAAGCGATGTGTATGTCGCAGGCGCGCTTGTGTTTGTAATGCGCGCCGCACACCTCGCAGATGTAGGGCGGCTTCGACCCGTCGTGCTTCATCTTGTGCTGCTCAAGGCGAGCTGGAATAACACCAGGTTCTCTGAATGAATAATCTAAGATTTCAGTTATTTCTTTTTTGGTCACGTTTGTCCGCATTCATCTAAATGTTATTTCTCTATTGTTTTCATATCCTTTTCTGTACCCCTGACAAGATATGATAAATTATATGTTGATCAGTTGAGTAGGTAAGGTTAATCGCATTTTAATTTTGTTAATTTTAATTCCAAAAGTGCTAGGTTAGCAATATACTTGCACTTAAAATGTGAGTGGAATCTAATTAGTGTGCAAAATGGATCTTTAATCACCTCTGCCCTTTCCCAACGACTCAAAAGAGTTAAAGATTCAGAGGGATTTATGTATAAATTAAACCAGCAATTAATTATACAAAACTGGTTACAGAAAAAATGTTGGTGTTCGGCAAAATGGGAGACAACAGCGTTGATTAAATAGGACAAACCTATTGAATTATTGTAGCATTATCGGTCATTGATAAGTGTGCAAAGTTTTACTTCAATCAGTTTTGGAGTAGATAGGTAAAAATCATGATCAAATATTCCGTCCTAAATAATAATCTTTGTAAAATCTATTTATTTCTTAATCTATTATTTATTTATATCTAATTAATTACCTTTAGAAGAGTATTGAGCATCACACTGGTCACACTGGTGCATAACTTTGACCTTTTTCTTGCGGACCTGTATAGTTTTCGTCTTACTTCTGTTTGCTAACATTTTATTTCTATTATTTTTGAGATCTAGGAAACCTGCAGTTTCCGGCAAGCTGTCATCATCATTAAGTTGCTCTTTCATTTCTATTTTCAGACCATTTTCAAATCCATTATTGAATAAAGGACTTTGTGAACTGAAAGCAGAATTTAAAAAATCAGACAATAAGGTTAAAAGACTTAGGATTGATAAATAATCTCCATGATTATATGATTTTTTGCTGTTTACACCTATTTAAAATTTTCAATTAAGGTAGTTGTTTTAGGAAGTAGGGATAGACAGTAAAGGAATTCATCTATCAATCAATCAAATAAACAATTTATCAATCAAGCAATGAATTTTTGATGACATTAATATCTGTGTCTATTGATAATGTGTATGACATAAATGGACCTAAAACAATTCCAAGCATAGGCCTACAATCTTCATGTGTCATAATATATGAATGACATACCCCTCTCCTGAATCCTCTGTTTTAACATCTTGTAGCAATGTGTTAGAATCGTCTAGGAGGTGTGAGCTAAGTTTGTGAGCTGCCAGAGCCACGGCACCACCTTCACTACCTGTTGTACCACATTCATCACATTTCCAGCTGCAATACATAGATATTTATTACACATATAAATTCTGCGAAGAAATTAGATGAAATAGAAAATAAAAGGTTGGCTAATTTGTAAGAACACAAAGCAAACTGGTTTGCCTTCACCTATTAATAAATTAGTCTGTGCACTTTTATTCAAAACTTAAGAACTTCTTTTTATGGTAGAAGGGGGCAAAGGAGCAGACGGGTCACCTGATGGTAAGCTACTACCGCCGCCCATAGACCCCTGCAACTCAAAAGTCACAAGTGCGTTGCTGCCCTTGGAGTCCCTCTTGCTTGAGCCAGCGGCAGGGGGATTTGGGCACCGGTAACCTCACTCACTCAGTGAAAGGCAACGAAAGAATTGCTTAACATAGGTTTTCTCTGAGGCCATCATATTTCAGAGCAGTATAAATAGAATTTTTGTTACTATGACTTAAAGTTAACTGCAGTTGTAGTTGTAGTTAACTGTCAGTCTGCAGTTAACTAACCAACCAGCTTACACATCTGTTACATTAAGAAAAAAATTGGGGATGTATTACTTAGTTTATTCATTCTTTAGTTTTAGGTTCTATTTATACTGTATACATAAAATAGCGGCAGTCACATAACAGCTAAGGCATTCATAATGTCGTGGGCCCTCAACAAGGGCACTTCTGACAAGAGGGTTCACAAGAGTATTAATATTGTGTGACTCAGAAAAAAAATACATTTCAACCAATATAAACAGTGTGCTATAACATAAACCACAGACTAGTTTTCATATAAATGATGTTATATGTATTATGTTATGAAAAATATACTAAAGAAACACAGAAAACATATTGGACACCTACCTGCCACTTATTTTAGTCCGTGTTCTACGTTTGTTTACAGTTGACAATCTCTTCTTTTTCTTTTCAACTTTCTGTCGTTTCCTTTTACTTTGACTAGCAAGTGGTTCATCATCGGAATCATCCTGGTTTATAGAATCGCAAACATAATCTTCATCATCATCATCATCGTCTGGTTCTACTTCTGCTTTCACTGCATTCAGTCTTATAGGCTGCGCTACGGGCAACGCGAAAATTGGATTCTTACTAAGAATAGCTTCAAAAGTTTCCTTCAACTTGATGTATTCTATTTCAGCCTGTTCCAGTACATTTATAAGCTCATAGCACGTTTTACAAATGAATTTGGTGCAGTTTTGGGCCGAAGTGAAGTTAAAGTGAGTAAACTTTGTGAGGAAATTGTGCAGCGTCGTGCCGGATGCGCTGGTGTGTGTCGCATATATGTCGAGGCACTCGAGGCTGCGGGACATGCATACCACGCACTCCAGCGGCTCGTGTTTCACCATCAGTTCCACCTCTGTCTTGATCTGTTGCATGTTCTTCTGCTTCTCGCTCTGCTCTACTTTGTTATCGGGGTTCATTGTACTCGTTTCGGCCATTTCTGTAGCCCTTTTCGCTTCCATTAGCGCCAATTGCTTCTTACGTCTATACTTATACTAATTCAGTAGCAACGATAAATTACAGTAAACAGCATCACTTGTAACTAACAAGCTAGTTACGTTTTTTTTAAATAAAACAAGAAAAACAAAATGCATAACAGGCGAATGACATTTCGTAGCAAAGCAGTGTTTATTTTCCCGTTGAATAGTGACATATTTGACAGCAGTGGCAACTGGCAATACTTCTTAATCTTTATCCTACCACAACGCCATTAACCAAAAGTTGAAGTTGAGTCTTTATCCATCCAGTTATTGTTTTTTAATCTTATGAAGTGATAAGGACATTGGATAAGGATGTTTCTAACCGCTTCAACATGGTTTACCATGAAAAAAATTACTAGGTGGTTTAACAAATTTTAATTTTGCGTTCCTGCAATAATTAAACGTGTGTTCAGCCTAACATTACATCATGGAGCTTTTGGTATATTATCTGATTATTAGGCGCGACTACGTGCTGGATGTCGGAATGCTAATAAAGATCAAGTATTATGAGGATACCTAATGTTAAAATGAAGTAGGTATGTGTCGTCGTGTTATATCAAATGGCGTAGTTAATTACATACGGTTGCATAGTTGTACGTTCAGAAATGATGTTAATCGTGTATATGAATAAATTAGTCTCTCAACTCCAAGTCTATTGGAATAATTATTCTATATTATTTGCATTAAGGCTAATATCGATTTCTTCTTTTATGTCCTATGTCCCTTTGGTGAAGATCTCGAATATTAATTTGATTAACAACGTATTTGTTAAATATATGTATGGAAGTTCAATAGCGTTAAATTTATAAAAAAAAAACAACTTGGGGCTATAAATACATTAAAAACTAAAACTATGGGTTATTAGGTTTTAAGCGTTTTTTCGTCTTGGCACAAAATTTTGAAAAAAATCAATTCCTAAACCAAAAACCAAATCCTGTTTTCAATTTCAAATTTCAAAATTTTGCTTTTCCCGACGATTGTGGATCAGGTGATAACAAAGATCATCGTGAAGTGGACACTATCTATCCAATTTATTCTCGTCACGATACAAATCATCATTTAGGTTAGGATCATGATTCTTATTCGATCATGATCCTAACCTGATAACAATTTTGCCAAGTAGACAACATCGTTTTAAACAAAATATATTAATTTAAACCAGGAAAGCTACTTTCGAGTAGCCCCTTAAAGTACTCAAAATATTTTATTTTATTAAAGAGGACTACTCCCGCACTAGGATTATATCCTGTGTCGCAAGGGACCTTATAAACATTCATGAAACGGACACAAAGATCACTCAGACTCATTTTTGTAGATCACACGAAATGTTGAACCTTGCGGGGATTGAAGCCTCAACACCCAGCGCAGCAGGAAACGGCGACAGCTTAAACCACTACGCTATCCATGCAGTCAACTAAGAGAAAGATGTAAAGCAAAATGAAGGATGTTTTTTCAACTTTATTTTGTCCCGTAGTCTGCTGTTAGCCTAGTGTAAAGAAAATTAGCAGTTCGTTACTCTAGTTTAACATTTTTTAAGCCTTTATCTAAAAGTGCCTTTATTCTGTTGTATAAACTTTTAGCTATTTGTAATGCGTATAGTTCAGCGCAGACTTTTTTTACGAGTATGTGTGTACTAGCTTTTGTCCGCAGCGTTTCCCGCGTGAAACTCGGCTATCGCGGTAAAAAGTCTCCTTCCTCAAGAATCAAACTATCTCCATACTAAATTTCATCTGAATCAGTTCAGCGGTTATTGATTCAACATACAAACTTCCACCCCCTTTCACCCTCTTAAAGGATGATTTCTGGGATAAAAACTACACTATGTCCTCTCCCGGGACTCGGACAATCTCTGTACCTAATTTCATATAAATAAGTTCAGTGGTTTAAGCTTGAATAGGTAACAGACAGACAGACACACTTTCGCATTTATAATATTATTATAGTCTGGATTATGTTTTACGTAGTGTTGCGCAGTTTTATAGAAATAGGGCAGCACATGAGAGGTCGTAGTCACATTGAATACTTGAATATTTACACCTAAATGAATAGGATTGCTTACAAATAATGCATAACATACTACTCTGTCAAGAAAGTACCGGGAAAAGATCAATAATACATAAAATGTTTGTTATTCATCCAAATTTATTTTATCACCTTCAAAGTATACTCCTTCAGAAACTATACACTTGCCAACGAATAATCCAATCATCAAAACATTTTTTAAACGCTGTTTCCGGAATTGAGTACAGTTCTCGCCGCGAATTCTCCTTTATGTCTTCTACCGATTGAAAACGGGTGCCACCAAGTGGTAATTCGAGTTTAGGAACAAGAAAGAAGTCGGCTGGAGCCATATCTGGTGAATATGGTGGTTGCTCGATGGTATTTGTTGTGTTTGGTAAAAAATTCGTTCTCAATGATGGCCTTGTGCGAAGGTGCATAATCGTGGTGCAAAATCCAAGAATTTTCTTTCCACAAATCTGGCCTTTTTCGTCGAATTTGCTATCTTAGATGCCGCATAACGCTCAAATAATATTCTTAATTTACCGTTTGACCTTCCGGCAAGAATTCCGAGTGCACAACACCGCGATAGTCAAAGAAAACAGTCAACATGACTTTGACTTTAATCGACTATAGCGTGTTTTTTTCGGTTTCGGTTCAGTTGGAAGGCGCCACTCCGAAGCTTATTGACTAGTTTGCATGTCAAACCCACGTCTCTTCACCAGTAATAATGCGTTTTATGAATGTTGGGTCGGAATTAACTCGTTCTAGCATGTCCTCAGCGACTCTCATGCGTTTGAGTTTTTGGAGAAAATTCAGGTCTTTTGGAACTAGCCGAGCGTTAACATGTTTCATACCCAAATGATTAGTTAAAATGATATGGATCGACTCGTGAGATACAGAAAGTTCTTCAGCTATTTCTCTCAAAGTTGAATGAGGAATTTCAGTCACTATTTCCTTCACTTTTGCTATGTTAACTTCAGTTGCAGACGTTGATGGCCTACCAGAGCGAGGCAAATCTTCCATCACATCTCGACCGCTTTGGAATGCTTTGTACCACTCATAAGCACGTGTTTTTGATAAAGTCGATTCACCGTAAGCCTTCTGTAACATTTTCAGTGACTCAGAACACGAAATTCCATTGGCGATGCAAAATTTAAGACAAACTCTTTGTTCGATGTTTTTGTGCATTATGAAATTCGCTATACACACTAGATATGATAGAACTAAAAAGAGCACTGTATTTAATATAAATAACAGATGCAACTCAAACTCCGCGCCAAAATGGAAAACAGTTGTGCCAATCTAACAAAAAAAACGATTTTTTTTAATTTGGGACCATAAACAAATCATCCATACCAGTCCATTCCCGATACTTTTTTGACTGAATGTATAGTAACAGATACTTTGAATTGACATAAAACCTTCATTCATGGTGTGCGATTTTCATGAGAAACTTTTTTCACATGACACCTTTGAGGTTCTCCTTTTAAAAAATGTGCACGAATGTGCAAATTTTTGACTTTCATTTGTTTTTTTTCTTCAGCTTAGACGTGAAAGATGGATAATCGAACTCGAGGCCTTGTGGGATGTACTAGCTACACCACTAAGGCAGAGCTTTTCAAATTCAAAGAAAGAAAGGTATGTTTTCCCTGAGTGCTATAGACTACTACTACTTTTTACCGCGATAACTGACATATACGCGGGTGGAGTCGCGGGCAAAAGCTAGTTAATTCGTAAGTCACCTGAAATATGATTTGAAATATAAATGCCATGCATGTGTCATAAAAATATAATACGTTTGAAATTCATAGATCAGCCTTTCACCAATAACAAATTAAAGAAACGAATAATATGTACCTAGACATACATACTACGCAAGACACGACAAGGGCAACGAGCCATGGCGGAACCCCACCCCCACGAGCTCGCGCTCTGCGCTGCCCCTCGGAACATAGAGCCACAGTCCACTGACTTACCTTATTAAGCGCGGGTGCCCCGTGCGCCTCTACAGCAAACGATTCGCTAAAAACTCACGCGTAACGCAAGCTTTTGCTCTCTCGATGTGTACATTCGTTTGAAAAAATAAACGAACACTGCGTGTACTTAACTGTGCATTTAGTGATATAACCTTATTTGTGCAATTAAGAAAATAAAACCATAGTGAATATATTCTATTTTTGAAAAGTTTTAGTGAAAAATCGTGCATTGGCTAATTTTTATTGGTTTGGAAGAAGCGGGTAATCTTTTTTTTTAAATTATAAGTTTTATTTTTATTATTGATGATATGCATTTATTTTTATTTTTTAATATCTCTAGCGCTATAATAGAACAGGATAATGGCAGAACAGCTTATTGCAAACAAAAGGTTCCATTGTGTTTACGATATGCAACTTTTTGCCGCGTTATTACAAACCAAAGAAGGTTCTGTGGTTTATATGCTAAGTATAACTGACGTTACGGATCTTGAACACAAACATTACTTTATTCAAGTTTATTTTTTTTGTGAAGATATAGTAACCAAAAAGGCTTAATATTTTAACGAGTTCTATTTAGCTGTTTTATGTATATGTTAAACAGCAGTGGAAATAATAATAATATATTTGTGAATTGTGCCCTAAGTTTCCGTTACTGAACTATCACGCTTGAACGGGTGACAATGGACGCGAGCGAGGAGCTTCCGCACTGCACCGCTGATATGCACCTGCTTGCATACGTTTAACTATACCTTCGCACACACAATTAGTTATAAGTATTTAATGGAAATTAGATTGTATAAGTGTGTTGGTATAAGTTTAATACAATAATTTTTGATTAATTCTTCATAATGTTGCGATTTTGAACCTCGAAGTGAACGAATGACTTGAATCTTAACAATACAGATGAAGAGTTTGTTTTGTTAAAATCACTAATCTAATTGGAACTTTCTGTCATATTTTTCTGCAGTTTAATATCACACT